GCAATTACAGTAAAAATAACAAGCAGAATATGGCAGCATACACACCTCAATTAAAAAAAAATAGGATCGGCACGCTACGGGACATCACAATCCTATATCGGCACAGTGCTGCTAAAAGGTTGCCTACCCCTGGTCTAGTCGATTGTGCCTCACAAAAGTGTTGAAAGATGACCAGACTACAGCCCTACAAATTTATTCTGTAGAAGTATCGCCAAAGAGGCCAAGACAGCCCTAGTCGAGAGAGCTTTAACATCTTCCGGCACTGGTTTGCCAACGACTCTAAGCTTTCTGAATCGCAAAAGTAATCCAACCCCTGATAGTAAAAACAGAGGCAGATATACATTTATGGTAATCAATAAAGGTACAATAAAAGTCTATTTGACTTTCTAAATTCTTTAGTATGATCATTGTAAATGCATCAGGTGAAATTAGGAAAGGAACCTTTTGAATGAATATCGAAATCAACCTTAGAACCGCCTTATCACCAACAAATTGAGTAAAAGGATGATCAGATTGAAAAACTTGTAATTTTGAAGCACTCCTGGCTAAAGTGATGGCAACAATGAAAACACATTTCAGCGTTAAGACCCATAAAGATGAAGAACCCATATACTCAAAGGGTGTACCTGTCAGACTATGCAAAACTGCAGGCAAGTCCCATGTTGGGATGAAGTTTTTAACAGATGGTCTAATTCTCATCGTTCCTTTGATAAAACGTTTAATTGTAGGATAGCCAAAAAACACAAATAATTGTACTTTAAGAGAACTAAAGCGCAAACCTTCATTCACACTGTTTTGTAAAACTTCCAACAAATCAGGAAGATTAAGGGTTTCAGAAACTTTCTCGAGATCAACATAAGCTTTCTAGATTCTATCTTATACTTTTGATGTAGTGTGATTGCTAGCTTTGAGAATAGTCTACACACTACATAATCTGATTAACCTCTAGCTTTCAGAAAGTTCTTCTCAATCTCCATGCCTTTAGACAGAGTCTTGCAGGATTTTTGTGGAGAACTGGGCCCTGTGATGATAGGTTCCTCTTGATTGGCAGTTTCCAAGTAACTCCTTGTGACATATTTAACAGCAGTGGAAACCATGGCCTCATTGGCCAATAGGGAATAATTGCTATCACCTCTACATTTTCCTTCCAGGTATTTTTGAAAGTTATCTGGATTAATGGAAGGAGAGGGAATACATATATCCCAGCCAAAACTTCAATCTCTATGTTAGGGCATCTTGACCTTTGCTCTTGGGTCAAATCTTATGGAATAGTTCACCATCAGATCTATATCCAATGTGTTTCTTAAAGATCGCATATCTGTTTGAACGTATCCTAACTCAGCTTCAATTATCCTGGATGTACATAGTGTTGGCGACATCGTTCAGTTGTCCTGGAAGATGTATTAAGATGCCCAACCTTTTCCGCTGGCATCTGTGGTCACTAATTCCGACTGTGGGTCCTCTAGCGGGAAGACTCTCCTGATATTTTCCACCACTGAAGAAACGTTCTTACTTCTTCTGTGATCCAGATCTTTTGTTTCCATTCATGATCTTGATTGAACAGCTCTAAGAAATTCTTCTGTTATTCTCAGGTTCCAGTGTGCCCACCTCACTAAACCGATAGCTGGGGACATTGTACACTGTGATGGTTGCAGTAGATACTTGTTGAAGTTTGTAATCCAGTCGTAAGTCCTGACTGACTGTCTTTGTATCTCTTATCAGTCTTCCTTTTGATTTGTTCTTAAGGTAACCAGGCTCCCTTACCACCTCAATATTGGATTTAAAAGTTGTAGAATTTAGTCCAGCAACATCCAATCTTCAATTACTATAAACTATAATAATCGTAACCCAGGGAGTCCCAAACTGCTTGGGCTTTATTTAAATTAGTTCTCGAAGCATGCCATCATGAACAACTAATGGCAGGGGAACTTTAAAATAAAACAGTTGTGCTGCCTAACAGCTGGATGACAGGAAAAAAGACTGCTTATTCTGGGGAGGTGGATTCCTTATTTACCATCTTTTGAAATTTTGATTCCTGTCCTATCAGCTGAGAGAGAGAAGCTAACCCATAGGTGATGCTGACATGGATTGCCCAGGAAAAAGGTTTTGTGGTTGTGGGGTTTGGAGGGTCTGTAAGATCCCCAAATGACCTAAAAGATTATTAAACCAATTTAATGTTAACAAAACATATACCATTAAAGAATGCAAAACCTGCCACACCAATTATGTTGTGTATTTGCTCACCAGCCCTTGTGGTCTACATTAACTTGGACGCTCCACAAGAAAAATGAATATAAGGATAGGTGAGCACATATACAACATTAGTAGGGGATATATACAACATCAAGTCTTGCTCCATTTCAGAGAACACCACAATGCAGACCCCTCAGTTTTAAAATTTCAAGGTATTCAAAAAGTAGTTCAGAAGTGGAGGGGTAATGATTTTATTTAAAAAAAAAAAATTGTAGGAACATATACCATCTTTTAGCCTGCCCCAAAAGAGTCTTTTTGTAAAATTTTTTTTTTTTTTTTTTACAAATTTTGTATCTATTATTAATATTTATTTTATTAAACACAATCCATAAGGCAAAGATACACTGTGAGTCACGCAAAATTTGATCTGTAAGCCCGTGGAACGGAGGGCACTCTGAGCCAACAGCATGTTACACTTTACCATAGCTGAGAAGCTGGAGAACCTTTTCCTCATGGAGGAGGCTCAGATCACAGCCTGGGACAATGGAAATACCGATAGTTCCACTGTGAACACACACGCTTGTGAGTAGAAGTGTCGAACTGCACATGCTCACTTATTTATATCCTGTAAGAGGCTTTATATATCCAGGACATACTTGAAATAGAGAGAAATCTCAATGTATCCTTCCTGGTAAAATATTTAATAAATAAATACTGTATAGAACTGATTGTATGCTGTGTTATTTTATCACTTATTAATTGAATTAGCTGAATTTATCTTGTTACATAAATTGTTACTATTGATACCATATTTTACACTTATATACCACCATCCTTATTATTGAGTAACCTTTTACATGGAAATTTCCATTCACATATGATATTAATTAGTTGTAACGGTCAGTTTGCAGTACTTCACTATATATATATATATATATATATATATATATTTATTTTCATTTTTCTATGATTCTGAGCCTTCTCTGACAGAAAAAGCAGACAATTGTTTTGCGCTCCACCAATATAAGTATTTTTTTTGTATTTACAATATATACAGTTGTGCTCAAAAGTTTGCATACCCTCGGAGAATTGGTAATATATGTACCATTTTTTTTAAGAAAACATGAGTGAGCAGGCAAAACACGTTTCTTTTTCAACTGTAGGTTATAACAGAATGGCATATTCATAAAATAAAACATTGAAATAATCCCTGTTTAAAAGTCTGCATACCCTTAGTTCTGAATACTGTCTAATGTCTCCTTTAGCCTCAAGAAATTGTACAGTCGTTTGTAATAGTTGTCTGTGAGGTCCCTAATTCTTGCAGGTGGTATAGTTGCCCATTCGTATTCGCAAAATTCCTCCAGGTCATGCAAAGCCTTTGGTCGTCTTGCATGAACCACATATTTGCGATCTCAACAGAGTGGCTCAATGATTTTAAGGTCAGAAGACTGTGATGGCCATTCGAGAATCTTCACCTTTTTCTGCTGTAAACACTGGAGGGTCAACTTGGCCTTGTGCTTAAGGTCACTGTCATGCTGGAAAGTCCAAAAGGGTCCTATCGCAGCCCTCCTTCAGAAAAATGCAAATTGTCTGCCAGTATTTTCTGATAACATGTTGCATTCATCTTGCCATCAAATTTTAACAAGATTCCTTGTGACTTTAGAGCTCCCCCCCAAAACATCAGTGAGCCACCACCATGCTTCACAGTGGGGATGGTATTATTTTCACTATAGGTCTTGTTGACCCCTCTCCAAACATAGCGCTTATGGTTGTGACCATAAAGCTCTATTTTAGTCTTGTCAATCCAAATTACAGTGTGCCAAAAAGAGTGAGGTGTGCCAAGGTGTTGTCAGGCATTTTGTAACCGGGCTTTTTTGTGGCATTGGTGCAGTAAAGGCTTCTTTCTGGCAACTCGACCATGCAGTTCAATTTTATTTACGTATCATATCATGTCCCTTGAAACAACCACACCGTCTTTTTCCAGAGCAGCCTGTATTTTCCCTGAGGTTACCTGTGGGTTTTTCTTTGTATCCCGAACAATTCTTCTGGCAGTTATGGCTAAAATCTTTCTTGGTCTACCTGACCTTGGCTTGGTATCAAGAGATCCTCAAATTTTCCACTTCTCGATAAGTGATTGAACAGTGCTAATTGGCATTTTAAAGGCTTTGGATATCTTTTTACATCCTTTTCCATCTTTATAAAGTTCTATTACTTTGTTATGCAGGTCTTTTGACAGTTCTTTTCTGCTGCCCATGGCTCAATATTTAGCTTGCTCAGTGCTTCCATGTGAAAGCTAACAAACTCATTGACTATTTACCAATTGCAGTTTAAATAGCCACAGGTGTGGCAAATGAATCTTTAATTGCAATTTTAACCTGTGTGTGTGTGTGTGTGTGTGTCACCTTGTGTGTCTGCAACAAGGCCAAACATTCAAGGGGTATGTAAACTTTTGATAAAGGCCGTTTGGGGGGATTTCTCTTATTACGATTTAAAAAGGAGCCAAACAACTATGTGCTAATAAATGGCTTCATATAATCACTATCCTTCAATTAAAGACCTTTTTGGCACGATCAGTAATATTTTCAAAATCAATGCCAAAATTTCACAGTTTCTCCCAGGGTATGCAAACTTTTGAGCACAACTGTATATATGCACACAGTTAATATTTGGACACTGACACAATTTTGCTCCACCACAATGGATTTGAAACAACCGAGATGCAATTGCAAGTACAGACTTTCATCTTTAATTGAAGGGTTTGAATAAAATCATCACATCAAAACGATTAGGAATTGGACAACAACACAATCATAGATAAAATGCAAATTTTTAATACTTTGTAGAGAACCCTTTACAGGTAATAACTGCTTGAAGTCCGAAACATATGGACATCATTAAACGCTGGGTTTCGTCCCGTGCTATGCTTTGCCAGGCCTTCATTGCAGCAGTCTTCACTTGTTTGTTTGTGGGTCTTTCTGCCGTAAGTTGTCTTCAGCAAGTGAAATGCATGGTCGATCAGATTGAGATCAGGTGATTGATGCAGGCATATTCCACTTCTTTATGTTAAAACAAACTCCTGGATTGCTTGCACAGTAAGATTTGGGTCATTGTCCATCTGTAAAGTGAAGCGCCGTCTAATCAACTTTACTGAATTAAGCTGAATCTGAGCAGGCAACATATATGTATTTAGATATACAAAAGATCCCGAGATACGACTGTATAAAATCTAAATTAGGAACTGGTGGGTATAAGTTGTATAAAATTTATTATAAAAAAGGGGCCATATACATTAGCCATCCAAGATAAAACAAAACATCCTACGCGTTTCGTTCCTGTGGTTAGGAACTTCCTCAGGGACCAGATTCAAATGATACAGCAGTAAAAACAATCAATACAGAAAAAAAAAAAAAAAAAATCAAACAATATCCCCCCATGAGTCTCTCTAAATAGGGCTAAGCCCTCAGTTCATTGGTGGATCCTGTGGTCCTATTCAGGTGTGGAGTGAGTATTCTCTTTCCTCTTCATCTGAAATTAGCGCGGTGAGTTGGAACCGGAAGTGAAGCCCGTTCTGTACTTCCGCATTCCAACATCGTGTGCGTTTCAGTTTGGTTAAAGTGAATGAGTTGGTGTGTTACCACCTAGGGTCGCCCAATATATGACATATTCTAGTGGTAATATAAACGTGCACAAGATACATAGTGACAAATCTGCTAATGGAGAAAAATAATTAGTATCACATTTAAACATTCAAACATATCCATGTACAGCTTATGACTCAAATGAAATATCAGTATAGTTCTTTAGGAGTTATTTTGTTTAGTTAAAAAAAGTAAAAAAAAATATTTTAGAAATTATTTTATCAAAAATATAAAGTGATCATCCTATTGGAAGAAATTCTTTATTTACTTATGAGTGCTTTGGTGTACCAATATGTGGGGAGTTATAATCAATATTCAATATTAAAGGACCACTCTAGGCACCCAGACCACTTCAGCTTAATGAAGTGGTCTGGGTGCCAGGTCCTTCTAGGGTTAACCCATTTTTTCATAATTATAGCAGTTTCAGAGAAACTGCTATAATTATGAATGGGTTAAGCCTTCCCCCTAATCCTCTAGTGGCTGTCTCATTGACAGCCACTAGAGGCGCTTGCGTGCTTCTCACTGTGATTTTTCACAGTGAGAGCACGCCAGCGTCCATAGGAAAGCATTGTAAATGCTTTCCTATGCGACGGGCTGAATGCGCGCGCAGCTCTTGCCGCGCGTGCGCATTCAGCCGGCGGGGCGGAGAGGAGGAGGAGAGCTCTCCGCCCAGCGCTGGAAAAAGGTAAGTTTAAACCCCTTTCCTCCTTCCAGAGCTGGGCGGGAGGGGGTCCCTGAGGGTGGGGGCACCCTCAGGGCACTATAGTGCCAGGAAAACGAGTATGTTTTCCTGGCACTATAGTGGTCCTTTAATTAAGTGGCATCTATGGTGCACACCTTACAAATTTACATGTGAAAATATAACTGTGAAATTTGTTCGTCAAACAATTATATAAACCCATCTGGTTAAATACAGCTATCCTTATTCTGATTAAATGGCTAAAAATCATGCCAGTATATATATTCAAAGACCTCGATGGGTCAAAAAGAATGCACAGACATTATTAAAAAAAAAAAAATAGTTAGAGAATCCCTTTTGAAAAAGCACTGATGGTGAACAAAAGGAAGAAAAAAGGCGCTAGTCCAAAAAACAAACGAGATCTATATCAATGTTAAGTCCTTTTGGGTGGAGGGTTTGAAGTTTGTGTATCCAGAATGTTTCTCGTTGTGCTAGTTTTTTAAGTCACCACCTCTCCAGTGGGGTAGTACTCTCTCTATTACTATACACTTAAAATTGGTGAAGGAAAACAAAGGGCAGGCATTACAATGAATGGGCACAGAATGGGGTGTAAGATTATTTTTAATATTAGATGTTCCATTAGTCTTACTTTGAGGATCCTTTTTGTGCGGCTGACATATTGTTTGCCACACGAACACTGTAGTAAACAAACAACATAGTCCGTGTGGCATCCTATGTCTGATTTAATATTAAACCTATCACCTGTGATAAAACTGGAGAAAGAGTGGGTTCTGGATATTAAGCCGGTGGTACATGTTTTGTATGTATTACATCCTCTGAAAATTCCCAGCTGATTGGGAGCATTTGTCGACGTGGGCTTAAGGGCATAACTAGGAGCTAGCATGTTCTTAAAATTAATTCCTTTTGTAAATAACTCTAGGTTGATTCAATAATGTTGTTCCTAAAATTGAGTCCTGTAATATAATTGGCCAGTATTGTTGTAAACTCTTTTTTATCCTCCTATGTTCAGTGTTGTATTGTGTTATAAATACAGTGGTAAAATTTTAATTGGAGGTTTTGACCAAGGGTTTATCCCTCAATAATTGATTTCTGTCTGTTTTGCTAACCGAATTTCCCTTTCTAAAGGTATTTTTCTTATAACCTTTCTCTAACAGTTTATTTTGTTGGATGTTGGAACGCGGAAGTACAGAACGGGCTCCACTTCCGATTTCAACTCACCGCGCCAATTTTGGACGAAGAGAAAAGAGAATACACACTCCACACCTGAATAGGACCACAGGATCATTGGTAACACCCACAAGATCCACCAATGAACTGAGGGTTTAGCCCTATTTAGAGACTCATGGGGGGGATATTGTTTGATTTTTTTCTGTATTGATTGTTTTTACTGCTGTATCATTTAAATCTGGTCCCAGAGGAAGTTCCCAACCATAGGAACGAAACGCGTAGGACCTTTTGTTTTGTCTTGGGTGGCTAATGTATATGGCCCCTTTTTTATAATAAATTCATACAACTTATACCCACCGGAGTCTCTTTTTACATTCGGTCCGCTTGGATTACCAAGTGGAGAGTAGAGGGATCGAGGTGCCCATCAATATCGGGGCAGGCACCTTTTGAGCGCACTATCCATCCTGATCTTGTGAGTGTATTATAATCACAGCGCATTATAATTTTGTTTACTGTATCACACTATGTATATTTTTTTGTTCCTGAGATACATCTGTATAAAATCTAAATTAGGATCTTTTGTATATCTTTATATGTTGTAAAAGGTCAGAAACTGGGTCACGACCTTGAGAGGCTGTTTGGTTCAAAAACTTCAGATAAGTAGATAGTTATCCACTATATTGATCATATTTAACTATATTTTGTGGCACTGCATCTATACTTTTTGCATATATGTATATACTTCAGAATTCATCCGGCTGCTTCTATTTTCTGTCACATTATCAACAAACACTACTGACTCAGTGCCATTGGAAGCCATGCCATCACACTGCCTCCACCATCTTTTACAGATGATGCGGTATGCTTCAAATCATGAGCTGTTCCAATATGTTCTCCATACTTTTTTCTTCCCATCATTATGGTATAGATTGATCTCAATTTCATCAGTCAAAAGAATGCTTTTTCCAAACTGGGTTGGCTTTTTTAGATGTTTTTGGCAAAGTCTAATCTGGCCTTTCTATTCTTGAGGCTTATAAATGGTTCGCATCTTGTGGTGAACCCACTGTATTTGTGAAGTCTTCTCTTTATGGTAGACTTGGATAATGATATGCCTACCTCCTAGAAAGTGTCTTCACTTGCTTGGATGTTTTGAAGGGTTTTTCTTTACTATGGAAAAGGGATCCAACGATCATATACACACCCCCACCCCATCCGCCTGGACTTCAGCTGAATTCCATTTCCTAACTATACTATCTACCATATCTATTCTTCTATATCCCTCCCCATCTACTTAAATCCCCCTCCAACCTTCTAGCCATCCTGTCCCCCAACACAACAGACCCTCTTCCATTAAGATAGCGTTTCCCAATTGGTGTTCCATGAGAACAAAATTGGGGTTCTGCTGTCATTTGCCCATCTGGGCATTTCTGCAGAGGGACCAGGTCAGCGCCACAGCCGATTAATTGCGCGACTGGGTCCCCGTAGTATGGGATGCTGGGAGGTAGTGACGAATGGTTATTTCCTCCCAGCTTCATACAGAAGACGCAGCACTGGAGGGTGAGATGTAGCAGCTGGCAGTGAGCAGCTCCCTCACACCAGCCTTAGCCAGCTAATCACCCTCCTGCAGACAGGTATGCTAACAGGAGGGTAACTGCAAATATAAAAAAATAAAATAAATAATGACGTGTATTTGACAGTGTACATCTGAGCGTGTGTATGTGTCACTGTGTGTACATGTGTTAGTGTGTATATATATATGTGCCTGTGTGTATCTGTGGGTCACTGTATCTTCCAGTGTATCGGTGTGTGTGTCAATGTGTATATCTGAGTGTCACTGTGTGTGTGTGTATCGGAGTGTCAATGTGTGTTAAGGGGTGCGTTTGTCAAGATGTGTATCTCTATGTTAATATGCATGTATTTCTGTAAGTATGTATGTGGTAGTGTGTGTGCATATATCCCAGCAAAACACCAACACAACATGCAAACACACCCCTGAAAAACACCAAACATTACATACAAAAATACCTCTTAATTCAAACTCCAAAATTATATACAAACACCCCCTTCACTCAAACACATGCATTTAAAAGCATCCACTACACTACATCCAATCCCACCCCTACATGCAAAAATTACATACTAACACCTACTCTACACACAAAAGCACTACAATCAGTTTACTTTCCGCAGATATAATTATATCTATACCCAAAAACTAAATTTGCAAAAAAGAAAAAAAAACATTACACTCTTTTAATTAAAAGGTTTGTGTTACGCCGCAAAATTATTTTGTAGGGGTGGAGGAGGGGTCCTAGATGTAAGATGTAAACCATCATGGCTAGAAACCCAATACCTTTCTTATTAGAACAAGTCTTCACCCATATATTGACCTCCCTAATCTCCTGCTGCTGTCTCACTGAAGCTTGTGGCACAGGTGGCAAACTACTACTTTGGATGTTTGCTTCCTAAATTCCTGAACTAATGCTTTGGGAACCTACATTTTCCTCTGACTTTGTCATTGGTACCAATATGGACCATGGCAGTAAGGTATCTCTAAACTACTCCCAATTAACTATTTACTCTAACCATGCTGAACCAGTGCACCAAGGACAAAGCAAACTGTCCATTTGAGGTTATCAGAGAAGCTTATTACACTGTTTACTCTCAATAGAATTCCCTGCCACCACAACCTACCTAGTATTTCCTCCATGCTATCCATATTAGTGTAGCTGCTCTCTTGAGTGTTAAAAAGGAGTGGTTTCCACTAGCACAACCACTCCAAACATCTTAGCTAAAACAAGCAAATTACTGAAGCGTTTTAAAAAAAAAAAAAAAAAAAAAGTCTACACCAGGGGTCCTCAAACTACGCCCTGCGTCCGGCCCACCGGGGTCCAGAACCCTGCCCAGGCACTCAGGGCCACCCGATGAGCCCTATATCTTTAGGGGCCTAGCGCGACCAGGGCCCTTAAAAAATAAAATAAAAAAATAAAATAAAAATAAAAAAGCAGCCGCAAAGTAATGCTGGGAGGAAGTGACGGCCGGTGGTCACTTCCTCCCAGCTCCCTCCGCACGGGAGGGAAGAGAGCCAGGCTGCGGTAGCCAAGCCGACTCCCATCAGCCACAGCCTCCCTCCTGCAAAAAAGGTAAGCAAAATTAGCTATGCGTGTGTGTGTATGTCAGTATGTATGTGTCTGTCTGTCTGTATATGTATGTCAGTCTGTGTGTATCTATCTGCATGTATGTATGTATGTATTTCAGTATGTATGTATGTCTGTGTGTGTATGTATTTCAGTCTGTGTGCATGTATATAGGTCAGTGTGTATGTCTGTATGTCAGTATATGTATATGTCTGTGTAGACATAGCAGAAATGACCGCACTCCAAGGACTTTATAGAGATTTTCAAATAAAATTTAGCTTTTATTCAATCCATTTAAAAAGTCAACGTTTCAGCTCCCACATGGAGCTTTCATCAGGACAAAACATCAGGATTTCTGCTATGTCTACATGATCCTTGCCAGACCAGCACCGGGCACCACAGGATTACACCAGGAGTGCAAGCCCTCGCTATTTATATGTCTGTCTATGTATGTATGTGTGTATTTATGTCCTTATTCGTGTGTGTGCAGTGTGCATAGGAATTCATTAAAAAAAAAAATTATAGTCTGGCCCCCAACAGTGTCTGAGGGACTGTGAACTGGCCCTTTGTTTAAAACGGTTGAGGACCCCTGGGATACACTCTTATTCCCTTCCCCTCATCTACCATGTGTCTAACTGTAATCCAGCTATATAACTATTCCCCAATTGGCTCATCTCCTCCCACTCCATGAATTGCCCTAACTAAAACACTGCACATTGAGCAATAAGCCCTTTTCAATATTGTCAGTCTCAGTGATGTAACTTGTTTTTCCAGAGGTACATACCTCTGTGGCTCACATTTGCCACAGAGGTATGTACCCTGGAAAAACTCTTCCAGGCATGCACACATACAGCAGTCTGTGTACAGAGTTATACCTCATACTAACCCCCCCCCAAAAAAACCCAAAAAAAACAAAAAACACAAAAACACACACACACACACACACACCACAATTGTAGAATTTAATAAGTTCTAAACAGCGGCATTGCTAGGGTAAAACTAAATACCCAGAACTTGAGCCCAAAAATAGTTTTGTGACCCCCTTCATAAAGCCCCACCCTTGACTCCTCCCCGAATTCAATCCCTGCACCTCCCCAACGCCACAGTTTAACACACCTCTTGGCAAACTCACATTTACTTACAGACATGCATACATACAGAAGCAGGTATGGACACACACAGGGTCCAAAAATGTACAAACACGTGCAACAGGCACACATATACAGCATGAATAATTAAATAGTCAATAAATAAAAGACTGATCTGTAACTTGGAGATTGATTTAGATAAACACAGGCAGTCAGTCATTGTTTCAGAATGCCTTTGCTGTAGAGAGATCACTCAGCCTGCGTTTTGCAGGCCCTGCACTCCTTGGTCTTCTCTGCTGTCGTGGCTGCTCTGCTCTCCCTGCCCACCCAATGCATGGCTCAGTAAGGCTCAGCCAGAAGCAGAAGTGCAGCAATAGACACACACAGAAAATATGACATTATCACTGCTTCCGCTCCCAGCCAACTCCTAGACTCACAGATGCAGGCCCAGACGGGCAACGGGCCAGCAGGGGAGATACTTTCATCTACCTTTCTGTGGTCCCTCTCAGATCAGTGGGGAGATCTCCATCACCAGCCTCTTAGCACTGCCAGCGCCCCCCCATTCCCACAACATGCTTGTCCTGCGTGCATCGCCGAAAGCCCACCCGTGCAGGAGATAAGCTCGAACGCCTGTCCTGCACCCTGCTAGGTGTGGACGCCCTCCTGTCGGCATCCTAGCTCCAGTCCCTCGTCCTCACTGCCCACTGCTGGCGTCCCCGACCTGGGAGGTGACCCTGGGGACCTTTGCGGCCCGAACGTAATGACCTCGCTCCCAGGTGTCCTCAAACTGCGGGCGGCCGTCCGGCAACATTGGGCGCAAGCTACTGAACTCCCAGGCTTCCCGTCTGCCTCCACAGCCTTCTTTCTCCATAGCCTCCAGCCTGGCTGGCAGTGATGGGCTCTCCCTCCTACGCGGTGATCGGGTCCTCCAAGCCACTCGTCCAGGCCGTCGCAGTGGATCCTGCAGCAGTAGGCCCAGATGGGACCAGGGCCTCTCCTAACCGTTCCTGGAGCCAGGCGACCCATCTGCTGGGCCGCAGCATGCACACCAGCCAGGCAATCCCCCATTCTTCAAGACAGCAGCACCTGAAAGACAGAAAATTCAAGACACCACACAGACCTGCCACAAAACAGGTAAGTGAGAATTAATTAAGATGGCCCTTGATCTAAAATAACCGCCCATTCCACTTAGCTGTATTTCTCCATGGGCTACATTCTCCACACATTTTCTACCCCATCTTCACTTACACATGTGTATTTTCTCACACTGTCTTATGTACATTCGCACAATAAATTTACATTTACACACTGGAACAAACAAAACACCTTAACTTGGATCATAAATAGGGACAAGTGAGGGATCTCCAGCCAATCCAACTAATCCAAAAACCAACTAGGACACACAGCCCCACATTTGAGGACAAAGTAAAGTACCCTAGCACTATTTTAAAGATGTGAATGGCACTGCAAAGCATTGCCACTTTTTTTTTTTTTTAAATCATGGTTGTAGAGCACAGGCACAGTCCATTGTTAGACATACTGTTAGGTTGCGGGGGCAGGTTTAGTTCAGAAAGGTTGTGTAGATGCAGGCAATCAAACCTAATAAGTGGTCCAAGTGAAGTACACAGGTGTCTGGAAACAATGTGATATTGAAGCTGGAGCATCAAATTTGGTAAGCGACCCTGTAGAATAACATGGGTGTCTGCATAGCTGGGACTGAGGTAAAACTGGCACTGGAGCATCAAAATTAGAGTGACCTTACATGAAGGCAGGGAGGAAGAATTGTATGTTTATTATATTGGGTGTTCATTGATTTTGGCACCCACCTCATGTCCACGTTTTGTGGGCTGTGGCACACACAGCAAAAAGGTGTATATTAGTGTAGTTATAGATGCTGCTAATAATGAGTTTGCAATTGTACTGGGGTCATGAAAGTTGAAGACTAATTGAAATGGATCAAATACCAAACAATTGAAATAAAATATATGTTGTGTGTCATAAGTAATCAAGAATATTTGAGAGATATGTTAAACATATATCCAAGACTTCTAATGTTTGTAATACTTCTCTGACTATCACAAAATCTTTGTTGCGGATTCTGCCAGCTTCATGTTTTCATCAATTGACGTATTCTACTTTTGAATGACCCATTTTAAAATGTCTTCCCTCCGTATACAAAACAAAGCACACTCTTGTTCCTTTCTATCTCTCCTCTCTGGCTTCTTGCTATATTCCTACCTGTCCATCCAAACCGTGTCCTATATCAATCCTGTGTGCGTGCTGGGGATGTAGCGTGTGTGTATGTATGTGCACTGCAGCCAATACACTTACCTATACACTGTGTCTGTATCTGTGTTTGTATCTGCATGCGTGGCAGTGTTTGTATCTGCATATCTGCAGTGTGTCTGCACACCCGGTTTCAAATTATTATGCAAATTCTATTTAAGTGTCAAAAAGATTAAATATTTTGTTTTTCAGTTTAACTCATGGATGGCATTGTGTCTCAGGGCTCTTTTGATCACTGAAAACAATCTCGGACACCTGTGATAATTAGATTGCCAGGTGAGCCCAATTTAAGGGAAAACTACTAAAAGGAGGGTGTTCAACATTATTAAGCAGAGCACCATTTTCATGCAATATGGGGAAGAAAGAAGGATCTCTCTGCTGCCGAAAAGAGTGAAATAGTTCAATGCCTTGGACGAGGTATGAAAACATTAGATATTTCATGAAAACTTAAGCGTGATCATCGCACTATTAAGAGATTTGTGGCTGATTCAGAGCACAGACGGGTTCGTGCAGATAAAGGCACATTGAGGAAGATTTCTGCCAGATCCATGCATCGGATCAAGAGAGCAGCTGCTAAAATACCATTACATAGCAGCAAACAGATATTTGAAGCTGCTGGTGCCTCTGGAGTCCCACGGACATAAATGTGTAGAGTCCTCCAGAGTCTTGCAACTGTGCATAAACCTTCTATTCGGCCACCACTAATCAATGCTGACAAGCAGAAACGGCTGCATTGGGCAGAAAAATACATGAAGACTAATTTTCAAACAGTCCTATTCAGTGATGAGTGCCGTGCAACCCTGGATGGTCCAGATGGATGGAGTAGTGGATGGTTGGTGGACGGCCACCCTGTTCAAACAAGGCTGCGACATCAGCAAGGTGGTGGTGAAGTCATGTTTTGGGCCGGAATCATGGGAAGAGAGCTGGTCAGCCTCTTTAGGGTCCCCGAAGGTGTAAAGATGCAAACTATATGGAGTTTCTGACTGACCACTTTGCTTTCCGTAATAAAATCATTTTCATGCATGACAATGCACCATCTCATGCTGCAAAGAATACCTCTGCATCAATGGCTGCTATGGGCATAAAAGGAGAGAAAGTCATAGTGTGGGCTCCATCCTCCCCTGACCTCAATCCTATTGAGAACCTTTGGAGCATCCTCAAGCAAAAGATCTATGAGGGTGGGAGGCAGTTTACATCCAAACAGCAGCTCTGGGAGGCTATTCTGACATCTTGCAAACAAATTCAAGCAATAGCTGTCCAAAAACTCACAAGTTCAATGGATGCAAGACTTGTAAAGTTGCTATCAAATAAGGGGTCCTATGTTAAAATGTAACGTGACCTGTTAAAATGTTTAAAAAGTTAAAATGTTGTTATAAGTTTGATTGAAATAGCTTTTAATTTCAGTAAACATGCTGCAAACACAACAAATTACAATTTCCAGTTCTTTACAACCTATAAAGGGTTTTGAAACTTACTGTGCGTAATAATTTGGAACAGTACATTGTAAGTTTTTTTTTGTTTAAAAAAATACTGTTCTCATTAGGAGGTTTGTTCAATACAATTTGAATTGTACTCTTAATAGTTGATAACATGAGAATTATGCTGACTTATTTACATCAATTATTTAGGTAAATGAGAAAAATATAATTTGCATAATAATTTGGAACAGGGTGTATATGTATCAGATACTGACACATACAGATGTACAGACACACTGATACGCCTGCAGATACACAGTGTCTGGAATAGAAAAATCAGGTAGTCAGCGATGCCAAAAATTTGTATATTGGAAAGCAGATAGTGGGACAAGCAAAGGTCAGGAAGCAAGGAGGAATGGTCAAGAACAAACTGGGTCAAAATCAGAGGAAATATCAAACAGCACAGAAAGGACTACAAACTGGCAAAAGGCCAGGAGGGAGCCAAACCCCCTTTATAAAAAGGGCTAGACTATGATGTCATAATCATGAGCCATGCCACTTAAATAGATAGTGCCCAATTTAAAATAATGATGCTTTTACTTAGAGACAGTGCCAAATACAAAGATGTGAAATCCTAACAACTGGTTCCTCACTTTTACCTCCCATGTGCCAGCATGCCTTTTTGGGGTGGGGGGGGGGACCTTAAAGGGACACTCCAGTGCCAGGAAAACAAATCCTCCCTAACACCACCCATCCCATGTTGCTGAAGGGGTGAAAACCCCTTCCGTTACTTACCTGAGACCCCGCTGATGTCCCTCGGCGGTGGTTTCGAGTCCGCCCACGCTCCTCCACCGCCATCAGGTGGGGGAGACCGATCGTGCTTGCGGAGCCGGCGGGGGAGACCTAATGCGCATGCGCATCCCCCCCCCCCCCTTGGATTTTTCAGCTTCTGCCAGGATTTTTCTTTTGAGATTGATCATACACTGCAATACCGGCGCCAGCCAGTAGGTGGCACTGTGTGTGGAGAGAGGCAGGGATAGGAAGCTACATCCCTGCTTCTCTCTCTCCTGACTGAATCCGCAGGGCACTTTTATTTACTGAGTGTCAGGAAGCACAGAGTGCCGCTGGGTGGGGGTGTCGCTGATTGGCTTAGAGTGCCAGCTGACCGCTCTAGCCAATCAGTAGCTCCTCATACATAAAAAAAGTTAAAAACATTTTTATGAACCTGGAACTTGTGATTGGCTTAGAGCGTTAACTGACCATTCTAGCCAATCTGCAGCACCCATGCCTGACGTCATTCTGCACTTCGTGACACTCCGTTTCAGAAGCCGAATACCACTGAGCGACCTGGAGCTGAAGAAAGCATTTGGGGGTTAAACCATTTGAGAGCAGTTTAACCCCTTAAAGGAAAGAGCACCCAGGGGCTTCCTGGCATCATAGCATTTTAATTTAGATGAAGTTGTTATAGTGACCAGAATGTTCCTTTAAGTTGCTTAAAGGAACACTATAGTGTCAGGAATACAAACATGTATTCCTGACACCATAGTTGCAAAAAATGCTATTCACCCTGGCTTTATGTGATAATGACTATGCTCCTTCCCTTTCATGACACGGTCAAAAAGGGACCAAGCATGGATGTCGTTACAATTATGCTCCCCCTGGAAAAATTCCTGCGGACGCCCATGGATACTGCACTCACTAAATAACCCAGGTTTCTATCCCAATGTCCCTCTCCTCTAGGAGTACCATATTGCTGGTGTGTCCGAGTGTGTAACAGAGCTCTAATCTACAGCAATCTTGCTCACAGTAATTTATCATTAAACTGCAATAAAAAACGGTTTTAAAAATCAGTCTACTATTGGTTTTGTTCTACACAACATTTTAGTTGCATAATTTGTATTAGTAAGTGACGTAAAATGTTTTAGAGTAGCCTGTCTCTGGCCACACTCCCTTTACATCCCTCTTATTTCCTTTTACATGTTGGGAGGTTTGCGTTCTGTCTAAATGATCTGATCTCTAATGTTGTTTGAGACTTTCTGACAAATTGAAATTAAACATGATTGAGCCTATATTTTTCCTGAAATATTGGTATGTGTTTATGAGCAAATTAAATCTGTGCCCAGACACACCCTAATACAAATTATACTCCCTCTCCAGAGTAGATCCAGACCTTGTTCTCTGAAAAGGCACCATCAAATTATTATTTAAAACATATGCTGTTTGTGCTCCATATTTTCATATAACCTTGCATTATTGTGGTGGTACACAATATTCAATCAAACTACCTTTTAGAAGAGAGCTGGGAATCTTGGGGAACGGGGGTCACATGAAGCAAATATTTGACGAAAATTGCTGGAGTTTGCAAGGTGTACCATCCTATATACCTGCAACCTCCATTAGTATGACCTGCACAATATTGAGAGAGAGAGGGGAGAAAGAGGAGAGAGACTTGCTCCCCTGCCAGCACTCCTATGGCCCTGCCAGGACAATTGTGATGGGAAATAAATGGCAGCCCTTCAATATGTACAATCTATGTTGTACTGGACTGAACCCAAATAATCAAAAAGGATAAAAGCATATGAATGCCTCCTAACCTAAAGCATATACAGCCTGCACTTTTAATGTACTGCCCATCTGTACAATGTGAGCCTGGAGTGCAAGCACCGTGGTTTAGAGATTATTATTATTGCTGACATGGCATTGGCAGCTGACGTTCTGTGAAATGAATCATTAATCATTCTGTAACCAGGACGACAACACTCTCCAAACCTGCTGAACCAGCGATCCAGCTCCACGCACTCACACGTGTCAGCTGACTGGTGGGTCATGTGACCTGCGGCCTTTGCTGTGGGAGGAGCCTGGGACATGCTGTGTGTGTGCCTGTAATATATACAGTGATTGTCTCACTCCCAGCCATATCCACTTCCTCCGGCACCCGGCTCAGCCCTGCAACATGTCTGTCCTCACAAATCTCTTCGACTACATAGAGAAGTCCCAGGATCTCTATGTTAAGGTGAGGATATGAATCCAGGAGCTTGTTTTACATGGATTGATCTGATTTGATCCACCCTGAACTGCAATGCATTGTTCAGTTTATATACTGATAGGATGGAATTTTGGTTTTCTTCACTTGCTAATTTTTAACAGTTGTATGTATTGTATATCCTGTGTGAGTGTGCATGCACGCTGAGCATTGTGCAGTGTGCACTGATTGTATATACACTCTGGGCATTGTGCACTGATTGTATATTCTATTCCGTGTGTGTATTCACTCTGGGCATTGTGCAGTGTATATTTATTGTATATTATAGTGTGTGTGTGTGTGTATATGTATGTATGTATGTGTGTATATATGTATATACACATACATACACTGGGCATTGTGCAGTGTGTATTGTATAATTTGAGCATTGTGCATCGGGGCACAGCTTGCAGATCTAATATCTGTATGTAAACTTCATTGTGCAGTTTACAAATGTTTCACTTATTGTTGAAGTCAAGACTCCCACAAGCGCCATCTGCAAGGTGTATGTGGTAACAGTTGACTTTCATTTTGGCAAATTATTGCCAGTAATACTTTGGTTTGGCACAATTGCTGTAACATAAAGCAACACTGTAGCAGAATTTAAAATGTATATACTTTAAAGCATCACTATAGGGTCAAGAACACAGACATGTATTCCTGACCATAGAGTGCTAAACCCAACATATAGGTGGCTTGCCACTGCAGAATGGGTTAAAACTCCCCTTATATCCCATGGGGAAAGCATTGGATTGGCTAAAATCGTCAAGAGGTGGAGCCAAACACCATTTTGGCCAATCAGCACCTCCTCATAGAGATGCATTTAATCAGTGCATTTCTATGAGGAAAATTCAGTGTCTCCATGCAGAGCGTGGGAACGCTGAATGGCAGGGCTGCTTACTGTGCAGCCCCTCCAGTGGCCACTTGGGTGTCCCTAGGGGCAATGTGAACACTGCCTTTTCTTCTGAAAAGGCAGTGTTTACATGAAAATGCCTGCAGGGAGCTATTATACTCACCAGAACAACTACATTAACCCCTTAACGCCGTTACGGCATTCTATGCCGTCCCCATTTAAATGGGCTTTAAAGCCGTTGCGGCGACATAGAACGCCGTAACGGCTTTCAGCCCCTGGAGGTCCGCGGTATTGACTCCACCGCGATCCTCTTCGGGAGGACTGCCTGACAGCCCTCCCATGGCAAATCAGGCCCCCTATAGCTGGCTGTGGATCTGGAGTGTCAGACAGTCCCCCTGCTGGTGGGAGGTGTAAAAAAATAAATAAATAAACAAACATGTTTAAAATAAGTGTGTGTGTGTGTGTGTGTAACATCATATGTAATGTATTTTAATGTTAATATAAGCATATATATTAGTATTAAAATACAATTAGAATGTTATATATATATTTACAAAAATAAATACAGTAATAAAATATAATAAATACAGTAATAAAATATTTTTAAAAAAATTAAAATAAATTATATATACATATGTAATTTCATTCTAACTGTATTTTGAAATATATATATATATGTGTGTGTGTGTGTGTAACAAAATACACTTAGAATGACATTCTGTATATATCTATCTATATATATATAAAATAAAAATAACTGCAAATATATTTATATAGAGATATATAATTACATAAATGATTACATAAGTATACACATAGAATTTAAATACATATATATGTATAAATATTAAAATTCTACGTGTATATTTAAGTAATCTTTTAGCATAATTATGTGATTTTTATTAATTAAAATTTGATTGACATGCCTGACAACCCAGGCAGAGAATTTAATTTGCTAGCACTATATTTAACCCTGTAACTTTCCAAGACAGCATAAAACTTGTACATGGGAGGGTACTGTTTTATTCAGGAGACTTCGCCGAACACAAATTTTAGTGTTTCAAAATGATAAATTGTATTACAACGATGATATTTTCAGTAAAAGTGATTTATTTTTTTGCATTTTTTCATACACGAACGGCACTTTTACTGACGATATTATTGTTGTAATATGTTTTACTGTTTTGAAACACTTATGTTTGTGTTCAGTGAAGTCTCCCAAGTGTAACAGTAACCCCCATGTACAGGTTTTATGGTGTTTTGGAAAGTTAAAGAGTCAAATATATTCATTTTTTTTCACATTGAAGTTTGCCAGTTTGGTAATGTTGCCATTGAGACCGTATGGTAGCCCAGGAATGAGAATTACCCCCATGATGGCATACCATTTGCAAAAGTAGACGACCCAAGGTATTGCAAATGAGGTATGTCCAGTGATGTTTAGTAGCCACTTAGTCACAAACACTGGCCAAATATTAGTTTTTTGCTTTTTTTCACACAAAAACAAATATGAACGCTAACTTTAGCCAGTGTTTGTGACTAAGTGGCTACTAAAAAAAGACTGGTAATACCCCACTTGCAATACCTTGGGTTGTGTACTTTTGCAAATGGTATGCCATTGTGGGGGAGGCAGCTCTCAGCGTCATCAGTTGCATGCTTGCTGCTCTCTGACGATCGAAGCCCTTACCTAAACTGCAAAAGGATGTGCAGCCATCATGGGAAGGTCGGATACCTCAGAACTGGATGTACCACCATGTTGGAGGTGGAGAAAAGCCACAGGAAACTGGCCATATTTGGTAATGGGCATTGGTTCATGACAAAACACCTGGACTAAATTAGATCATTAGAGGGGTATATATATGGATGTATGGACATTGTATGAACATGAGGAAGACACTGAGTTTGGTTGAAATGTGTTGTAGTATCATTATAGTTTTACTTTGTTTTATGTGCAATAAAGGGTTTCTAACTTCATCTGGTTCCTGGCTACCTTTTAAAGGAATATTAGTGCTTTCTGAGGGACCTGGCACTTGAAGTATTCTACCCTGCATCAACCTGATATTGATGAAATGCCTGTAGAGTGTAGAGCCAACTGGCTCTTTAATTTGTGCGTGTTCCAAGTTATCTCACCATTCTGATTTGTGTTTACATACTATACCATGATACTTTTATCTTTCATATTATATAGGTTTTAATTACCATCACTAACTGCAAGGTTTTACCACTGTGTGCGCAATCACCTTGTTCCCTGTTTGATTGGGCTTGTTCTAGCTGTCGTGGCTATCCAAGCATGTTACTGATTGCACAGCAAAAATAAAGAATTATTAAACTCTATGCCAAAGAATTGATTAAGGGAGAGCATAAGAAACTGGCTAAGGAGTATAGGAACAGAGTGACATGACTTCACGCCACTCAGATGCCGCCATGCTGGCAATCCAGTGTCCCTGAGCAGGGCAAATCAGTGACCAGCAGTGGTAGCTGTTACAGAAGTGTAACTCTCACTTCTCTAGTGAGATCATGGGGAGGAAACGGAAGCTTAGGTATGTGGTTGCAGTTTCATTTTAATATCTGTATGTTTAGCATTTCAAAGCAAAATGCAGCAAATACAGACTCCATGGCCACCTTAAATCACTGATCTGGTCATTGTGCTTGGACTAACCCTGTGAATCTATTTAATTTTCCAATGTGTCTGGAATTATCATGCTGCACGTGGTGACAGGGTTAAGTTATAGGGAGGGAAAGTGTGTTATATACAATGCTATATTCGGTATTTAGTGGTTTTCTGTGTGATCTCCCTGCCAGATCACACCTTGTGATTGGAACTGCATAAAAAAAATAATTCTGCAACCAGGTTATTGAGTGGGGATTCATAAGACACAACTGGGTTTTAAATGGGGACAGCTATGATTGCTGCTCAGCCTAATTTGCTTGCTGCTGCGGGTTCCCACAGAGCAATTGTACCAGCAAACAAGTTGGGTTGAGCAGCGGTTGGTCCGATAACCATAGAATCTGACCCAATATGGCTGCTCAGCCAAATAATAATAAAATTAAATTATCTGGGGGTAAAAAAAATAAAGTGTGTGTGTGTGTGTATGTATGTGTGTGTGTATATGTGTGTGTGTGTGTATGTATGTATATGTGTGTATATGTATATATGTATATATATATATATATATATATATATATATATATATATATATATATTATACACATGTTGAATATAGGAAGTGCTGTATGTCTGTGTGACTGTCTCTTATCTGCTTTCATTATTATCTATAGAGACTGGCAGAATGGGTGGCAATACAGAGTGTATCTGCCTGGCCAGAGAAAAGAAGCGAGATAAAGAAGATGATGGAAGTTGCAGCTAAGGAGATTGAGCGTCTTGGAGGAGAGGCTGAACTGGTCGACATTGGCAAACAAAAGGTATTCACACCAGGGCTCTGTGTCATGTCATGTAGAGCAGTGCTTGTCAAGTGATTTCTCAAGGCACACCAATATTTCAGGTTTTGTCAGTTTACAAATTCCAACATACTCTAAAACGTTTCCTGTATTCATTCCCAAAATATACCTTACAATCAGACAGTCACAATACAAGATGCCATATACAGCAAAATAATTAGAAAAAGCCTTGGGAACCAAATTGGGTTTAGCTTGATCACATAAATATGGAAGTTGTTCCTTTTTATTCTAAATAAATACATAAGCTCATTTGGGCAGTGTCCTCTTAACCTACTCTTTCCATATGTCAAACATGTTTTGTTAGAATTGTTTGTCTTGTTTACCAATTGTACAGTGCTGTAGAATATGTTGGCACTGTATGAATATTTGGAATTTCAGAAAGCATAAGTGTAACTGGAACTCTCTGAGTATACACATTTTGGAATCATTTCTGGTGAAAATGTATCAATCAGAGCCACAGCCATTCCAGAATTAAAAATGTAATATTCTGCCCCCTTCGTACTTCCTAAGACATGAAATAATGCCTAATATGAATCACCTTGTTGTCATGTAGTCTGCACTTCTTCATGTAAGTGATTTAATGTTTACGGATAAGCCATCCAAACTCTTAAATGTAATAATCTTTTATGCCAACCCTGAGGTTTTCTTTTGTAGATACTGTATTTATGGTTATATTAGCCTGCATATTGGTTAAGCAGTCTTGTTGACCCTTTTATTATTTTTTTATTTTATTTTTAAGCTCCCTGATGGTTCGGAGATTCCACTTCCCCCTATTATCCTGGGCAAATTGGGTTCCGACCCTGGTAAGAAGACTGTCTGTGTATATGGACACCTTGATGTCCAGCCAGCAGCTCTGGAGGATGGGTGGGACAGTGAACCCTTTGTGTTGGAAGAAAGAGATGGTAAGTCACGGGAGCTTTATAATAGGCAAGGTGTGTTTTTCCTGATACTGCCAACAAAAGATTATCCATGCTTTGTTTTTCTTTATACTTATGCTACTATAAGTAATACTGAATTGAAAAACATATAAACTATACTTTCTTTGTTCCTTTTTTAGACTTGTGTAAATAAAGTTATACTTTATAATACACCAATGATTTTATGTAAACAAAAAAAGAAAAATCAGCATTTGGCAGTATTGATTTAGAAATAAAATACACCATATTAAGGTGGATGTGTTCTGATTCCTTCCACTTCTCCTCTGTCTACCTTGGAACACTGCAAACACTATAAAAATTACAGCTCCTTGTAGTGGTCATGGTGCCATAACTGCCGTTATCCCATGAAAACTTAGCTAGGTCTCTAAAATCGGTCCTATTTTGCTCTATAAAAACATAGGACTTCTGCTGGAGAAGAGCAGATTCATTGCAGGGTCCTGGTAAGTTTCCAAACTATTTTAGCAGTTTGATAATTTACTTTGGGATGGTTCCAGGGCACTCCTGACACCATAACCTTTACAGCAGACTTAAATCGTTCTGGTGCTTTGACTGTTCCTTTAAAACTGTTTGAAAAGTCACTGCTTTTGTCTACGCATGTTCAAGTGAAGCTGTTATCTGCACACCATATAGATGACGAGTTCACATTCAGGTAGGTGTAGATTCGTTCTAAACATTACATACATGGTCATTTTACTGAAATCTGAATTTTAGCTTATTTAAATATGATTTTTAAAACACAGGCTGGAATAGCCAAGATGTGTCTGGAGCTGAGTTTGAGAATGTTTAATTATTATGGCAATTGGCATTTCTATAGCGCCAACTTATTGCGCAGCACTTTACAATATTATAGAGGGGGAAATTAAGATGTTACAGGAACAAAAGCTTGAGGAGGACCCTGTTAGTTTCATTATGCACATGTGAAAGGTACAATTATTTCTGGAAATCCACTTTGTTATGCTTTCATAATACTGAAATTTGTTTTAGTGTCTTTTTTTTTTTATTTCTTTTTATTATTATTTCTGACTGCATAGTTAAAGTAACAAGGTTGCTTAGCACTCCTGTTTTATTGTTACTTGTCAGCAACATTTTCCATTCAAGTCAATGCATGTTCCAAAGTCCTGGCGTAAGTGTTTATTGCTCAGCCAGCAAAACTAAACTTGAAGTCCAGATACTGCCATTTATTCAGTGCTTACACCTTGCAGACGAATGTGAGATTATTAGGCTACATGTCCACCGTAAAAAACACAGTCCACTGTTTGTGGGTGTAAGAAAAGTGGGGATATGTGTACATGGAGGAGATGATTAAATGATGATCTTGATGTAGGACACAATTATCTGGATAGGCAACTGCACAAGATGAGGGTGAAAGAGTGAAGTGGGTAAATGTGAAATGCTTAGAATATACATGTTTGGCTGACTTTAGTCAGTCACAGGTTATCATTCTTCAGCTGACTTTGCAGGCTTTAGAGGAAGTGGTACTAAGCCGCAGGCACTGACAGAGTTTGTCATGTAAAGCACTTCTTGTATTTGTAAATTGTCATGTGTTTTAAGAGTGACAAACATCCTCACAGAGGGTTTCTGGATACTCACTGGCTCTTTTTGTCACAAATTCTGTGACGCCAAAATTATTTTGTGTATATATGGGGCCCAGGCTACATGTAACGTACTAGATGTTTAAAATGGCGTCATGAAAAAAGTACTTTAACAGTTTGTACAATCTAATTTTATTTAAGTATTGCTTTGTTTTATTCAGTATTCATTGGTGATACATTTTATAAATGCAGCATATAAATAAGGCATTAAAATGGACCTATCATGCAACATACCAGCTAGCTTTAAATCAAAGGCATACAATTCCATCTGTACATTGTGTTAACAACAATAGCTAGAAAAACATAATCCCTCACCCATCTGTCAATCAGTCGAGAGGACAGGAGAACCCTCCTTGAGTCTGTTCTCCTGCTCTTCATAACATATTCGTTACTGTGCTTCCAGGATTAACATAAGAATTATGTCACAGTGTTCTGCTCCCAATGTACTGGTAGTGAAGCTCAAATGCTGGCATCCTTAGGAGGATTGCCCTGCTTGGGGAAGTGTCACCAAATTGGGCCACTCGCATTACGTTACATAGTGACAGGATTAAAAGGTGGATGTTACAGTCAAACCCACAGACGTGAGGATGGCAGCACTGGAACAATGGACAGCGGCTATTTACATATAATATAGCCTCATAAAGATACGTGATATATTTGTTTTTGTGAAGTTTAACTTTTTTATGACTGGTTCACTTTAGTTATGTTGGTACTCAGTGTGTCACCTTAGGTCAAGGACGTAAACTAAGCAGTATTTGAAACTGCAATGAAAAAATTAAAGGACCACTTAATGAAGTGGTCTGGGTGCCTGGTCCAGCTAGGTTTAACCCTTTTTTCTATAAACATAGCAGTTTCAAAGAAATATTAGGGTTAATCCAGCCTCTAGTGGCTGTCTCGTTGACAGCCGCTAGAGGCGCTTGCGTGCTTCTCACTGTGAAAATCACAGTGAGAAGACACCAGCATCCATAGGAAAGCATTGTGAATGCTTTCCTATGAGACTGGCTGAATGCGCGTGGCTCTTGCCGCGCATGCGCATTCAGGAGAGGAGGAGGAGGAGAAGATTTTTGGTTGTAGATATATATATATTTTGGTTTAGTCAGCCACACCAATAAATATGGTTTTCTGTAATCCTATAATTCTGGATGTAGCATGCAGGGGTGTCAAATTTGTGTGGTGTAATGCCCAGAATTTTAGTTCTGCTACAGGGAGGACAGGGCTAGTCAAGGCGTGTTCTGAGATTGCAGACCACAGTAATTGCTCAATAATGAGTCCGTATAGGATGCGTTTTATAGCGGCTGCTTTTTGACTCCCGGATTGCCCATGAGGGAGTGGTTACTATGGTTTCTGCATGCCGGTGGTGCAGGTCACTTGCTACTTCACCAGGGACCATGGTCCCCTCTCTGCAGGAAGGTAGCAAAATAGAGTACTTACATATTACACACATCATTGCCAGCAGACATCACACATACCTCAGCCAGCACACATCCAGGGCACACCATACACATAGCCAGCGCCCAACACACACACACACACACACACACACACACGAAACATTACACACACACACACACACACACACACGAAACATTACACACAGCTGGTGCACACCACACACATGATATGGAGGACACTATGTCATTTGGAAAAGTAGACCCTTTTTTACAATTAATTGTCATGGGTCACAGATTACAAGAACCAACATGTATGAATACATGTGGTGTCTGTATAGATTCCCATGAAAATTAATTTCTTTGTATATTTGTTTTACTAAAATAATTTTAAATAAATAAGACCTAGAAAGGAACATAATGATGTTGCATAATATATAATTTTATTTTCATATTTTTGTGTGGGAGAGGTAGGCCACTTTCAGATAGAACATTGACATGATTGCAATTGTATGTGTGCTTATAAATTGCAGCCATAAATAGCTGTAGATCTTTGTGAGTTAGCCATCAAGCCATTTGTATTTGCTGAGAATGTAAAATAAAACCTCTTTCTCACGCTCCTTCAGGTAGCTTGTGGGCTAATCTGGTTTCTGATAATGGCTTCTACTGATGAACTGTTGGATTCTACTGTTATCTTAAGCACAAAATAATTCTGTCAAAGACTTGTTGATTTAGCAATCTATCACATATTAAGAAGATTATCTGTCTCAGTGCTGAAGGTTGCTGTATTGTGCTGAAGTTGAACTCTTGAGGCTGTAATCAAGCAAGGCCATGCCTGATATTTGCAGCCACATCTTACTCCTGACAATAATACATTGTCAATAGAACTTGCATTGCTGTCTGTTCTCTCTGAAAACACAACAGACCCCCTAGTAATTTTCTAAGCAATAGTTATTAATGCAGCTCTGTTCATAGTTCACTCATGCAGGATGGCACCTGTTTAAATACCTGGTTTTAGGGTGTTTAATGTTTCTATGCATCTAAAACATTGCAGTTGAAGTAGTGCGTTTTAAATGCCAAGCGTCAGTGGAGAGAGAAGCTGGAATGATGTTGTTGCATCACTGTTAATAATGCGGATGATTTAAATGCTACCACTATGGATAAGGGTAGGTTTGATGATATTTAGGTTTAGTTTAGAAATGGGGCAGATTTAGGTTGGGTAAAGTCTTTAAAGATTCTCTGGATTGTTGCGTCTGATTCTCTGCCAGGAAATGCCTTTTAATTCTAACTCTCTCCTCATCCTAAACCACCCTTAATCTCTCAGTACGGACGGATCATTCTAACCAGCACTATAATGACACTGCGATATTTTTAGTGTAACATTATAATATCATCATAATAACTATAACATTTGTAAAGTCAACTTTTTTAAAGTGAATTTTGCATTGCAGCATTATGTTTGTAGTTCTTTGTATAATGTGAGGTTTGTAAAGCAAAACTCTATAATATCAAGCCCAGCATATAAATAAAGATCTGCATATATACCTCATCACATTTTTGCATTCTTACTGCCCTTTTATTTTTCTTCATTTACTCCTTCTTAATCGCAAACAATCCACGCACTCTTATATTTTCTTCAGCCCCTTTCTCTATTTTTCCCCAAAAAACTAGGAGGCTAGCAAAAGCGTCACTAAGCCCACCTACCTTCTTACCAGTGTTTCATAAAAGTTGCATGTTTGTTGTTGGATTATGTATTTTTTATTTATTTTATTTTTATATCTGTTATGTATTTTCTATTTTCCTAGGCAAACTGTATGGGAGAGGATCTACAGATGACAAAGGTCCTGTGCTTGCATGGCTAAATTGTATAGAGGCTTATCAAAAAACTAACCAGGTAAACCTGCAATCTGATATGTGGTTGTTAAACAGTTACAAGAATTGCCTTGTTCCACGCATGTATCTCTTATGGCTTGCTGAACTGGATTACCATGAATTCAAAGGGTAATCGTAGGATCATAGGTCACCTCTCTGTGCCAAAGTTTTAAATCAAAGGTCCATGCGAGATTACAGCATATATTTTTTAAAAAAGAAATAGACTCGTAATGCTAAATGTGTTCTAAATAATATTGATAACTAGGTCAACTTGAGATTGATATAAAAAAACAAATCTACACACTCTGCTGGCAAATGTTCAAACCAAAACATGCTTACTTGAAACGTTACTTCTACCCCCTTTTTAAAGATTGATGAATTTTTAGATATGAGTTCAGTCACTCGCAGGACTGACACAGCAGTTCAAAAACTAAAATGTGTATCTAACTTTAAATAAAGGCTCTCATTAGAAATTTTCCTTTGCATTCACACATCCAAAGCATGCTGTTTTAAATAATCATTTTATGAGTGTTGTAAAACAAGTTTTTATTTTTATTTTTTTGTATAGTTAAATGGCATTGTCATTAACTTAAAGGAACACTATTGTCACCTTAATTACTTTAGCTAAATAAAGCTGTTTTAGTGTATAGATAATTTCCCTGCAATTTCACTGCTCAATTCACTGTCATTTAGGAGTTAAATCACTTTGTTTCTGTTTATGCAGCCCTAGCAGGGCCGGCCTTAGAGGTGTGCGAGCTGTGCGACCGCACAGGGCGCCATGGAACAGGGGGCGCCCTGTGGCCGACACAGCTCACTCATGGCCGGAGTGCAGGGGAGCTAAAAGAGGTACCTGGCTGGAGGATTAATTGTTCTCCACCCAGGTCTATTTAAAAAAAAAAAAATCGCGGCAGAGGGGGCGGGGTTTACCGAGCGGCGGAGGCGGGGCTTATCGAGAGGCGGAGACGGGCTAATACCTCCCGAAGCCCCTGCTGTACAGGAAGAGGGAAAGATGCTTCCCCATCAGCCAACTGCATCCACTGGAAAGAGGTAAGTGTGTGTGTGTGACTGTTTGCCTGTTTGTGTGACTGTCTGTCTGTGTGTGTGTGTGACTGTCTGTCTGTGTGACTGCCTGTCCTGTGTGTGTGTGTGTGTGTGACTGTCTGTCTCTGTGTGTGTGTGTGACTGTCTCTGTGTGTGACTGCCTGCCTGTGTGTGACTGTCTGTCTGTGTGACTGCCCATGTATGTGACTGCCCATGTATGTGACTGCCCATGTATGTGACTGCCTGTGTGTGTGACTGTCTGTCTGTGTGACTGTCTGTCTGTGTGACTGTCTGTCTGTGTGACTGCCTGTGTGTGTGACTGCCTGTGTGTGTGACTGCCTGTATGTGACTGCCTGCCTGCCTGTGTGTGTCTGTCTGTAACTATCTGTCTGTGTGTGACTGCCTGCCTGTGTGTGTGACTTTCTATCTGTGTGACTGCCTGCCTGTGTGTGTATAACTGTCTATGTGTGTGTTACTGTGTGTCTGTCTGTGTGTGTGACTGCCTATGTGACTGTCTGTCTGTGTGTGTCGCTGTAGCTGTGCCATTGTTTGTGCCTGTGCCTGTATGTGTGACTGCCTTTAACTGAGTGTGTGTGTACATGCCTGTAACCGAGTTTAAATTTCCCCCACCCCTTCCTGTCAAGGCCGCACTTTGACTGACAGACGCTCACTCACTGACAGACGCACACTCACTGACGACACATACACACTCACTGACGACACATACACACTCACTGACTGACACATACACACTCACTGACTGACACATATACACTCACTGACCAACGCACACATTCACTCACAGACACACACACATTCACTTACAGACACACACAATTACACACTTACAGACACACACACACACACACACATTCACTTCAAAATAAACACTCACAGACACACACACAGACATTTCCACTAACACTCACAAACTAATATTTTTTACATTTATTTTAAATCCACCCAGCCTCCCTGGGAAAGCTGGAGTGGATTTCTTACCAGCAGTCCAGTGTGGCTGCTGGGCAGGCAGGCAGGGGGCGCACAGGCTGAGTAAGCAGCGCTTAGTGATGCCGGGAGCCGGACTGACGTCATATTCTGGCTCCCGGCTTCATTAAGCGGCGCAGAGGAAGCTGAGCAGGAAGAGCTCAGGTGAGTATGCTCCTTCGCTGCCCGCTGCCAGCCTTGGGGGGGCTCAAAAGTGGCCAGCCGGTCAGCTCTTGAGCCCCCCAGGATGCGAGGCAAGCAAGGGATCTGCCTGGGGGTTTGGAGGGATGCTTTTTTTTGCCGCCCCCTGCAAAGTGGCGCCCAAGGCAGATGCCTTGTTTGCCTCGTGATACACACGTCCCCGGTGCCTGTGTGTGTTACTGTATTCAGGCAACTTGGTGGGAGGTGGGGGGGGCGCCGTGAAGACTTTTTGCACAGGGCGCCTAATTGCCTAAGGCCGGCCCTGAGCCCTAGCCACACCTCTCCTGGCTATGATTGACAGAGCCTTCATGAAAAAAAAAAAAAACTGGTTTCACTTTCAAACAGATGTAATTTACCTTAAATAATTTTATCTCAATCTCTAAATTGAACTTTAATCACATACAGGAGGCTCTTGCAGGGTCTAGCAAGCTATTAACATAGCAGGGGATAGGAAAATCTTAATTAAACAGAACTTGCAATAAAGAAAGCCTAAATAGGGCTCTCTTTACAGGAAGTGTTTATGGAAGGCTGTGCAAGTCACATGCAGGGAGGTGTGACTAGGGTTCATAAAAAAAGGGATTTAACTCCTAAATGGCAGAGGATTGAGCAGTGAGGCTGCAGGGGCATGTTCTATACACCAAAACCGCTTCATTAAGCTAAAGTTGTTCAAATGACTATAGTGTCCCTTTAACATGCATTGCTGTTACCTTTAGTACATATCTTATGGATATTTGCCCTGCTTATACATTTTGCACAACATAAATTGATAATTACTACTTTTGGATTCCTGAAAATGTCCCATGGCCTTTTCTGGACTGTTTTGTGTTTTAAAGAAGCAAACCATCCAATAATATTTTCATGTCAGTACAGTATAAACCTTTAGATCACTTAAGCTTCAGTGCTCTCTAGTCACACATACATCAATAAATTATGTTAATAAAGAACTGTATGAGCTGAGTTAAAATGGTTGAAGATATAATGGTTAACACTTGATAGTTCATGGAATGTTTTTACAAAAACTTCCTCTGGAGACTTCTTTATTCTCATACTTGATTAAATATGGCTGTGCATATCACAAATAACTATGTGCACCAAAAACCATGATCACTCTACTAAAAGCTGGCTAAGGATAGTGGATGTGGAAAACCAACAACCATTAAAGGACCACTATAGTGCCAGGAAAACATACTCGTTTTCCTGGCACTATAGTGCCCTGAGGGAGCCCCCACCCTCAGGGTCCCCCTCCCGCCCGGCTCTGGAAGGGGGAAAGGGGTAAAAACTTACCTTTTTCAAGCGCTGAGCGGAGAGCTCTCCTCCTTCTCTCCTCCTCCGTTCCACCCCGCCGGCTGAATGCGCATGCGTGGCAAGAGTGCGCGCGCATTCAGCCAAGCATTCTGTAGATGCTTGCATGGCGCAATCACGAAGTGAGAAAGCCACGTCAGGACAGCCACTAGAGGATTAGGGGGAAGGCTTAACCCATTAATAAACATGGCAGTTTCTCTGAAACTGCTATGTTTATAAAAAAATGGGTTAACCCTAGAAGGACCTGGCACCCAGACCACTTCATTAAGCTGAAGTGGTCTGGGTGCCTAGAGTGGTCCTTTAAAGGACATCTATTGCTAATCTATGTGATAGCTTCCGTTTTAAAGGACCACTCTAGGCACCCAGCTTAATGAAGTGGTCTGGGTGCCAGGTCCAGCTAGGGTTAACCCATTTTTTTATAAGCATAGCAGTTTCAGAGAAACTGCTATGTTTATTAATGGGTTAAGCCTTCCCCCTAATCCTCTAGTGGCTGTCTCATTGACAGACGCTAGAGGAGCTTGCGTGCTTCTCACTGTGAAAATTACAGTGAGAAAACGCCAGCGTCCATAGGAAAGCATTGTGAATGCTTTCCTATGGACTGGCTGAATGCGCGCGCAGCTCCTGCCGCACATGCGCATTCAGCCGAAGAGGAGGAGGAGAGCTCCCCGCCCGGCGCTGGAGAAAGAGGTAAGTTTAACCCCCTTCCTCTCCCCAGAGCCCAGCGGGAGGGGGACCCTGAGGGTGGGGGCACCCTCAGGGCACTATAGTGCCAGGGAAAATGAGTGTTTTCCTGGCACTATAGTGGTCCTTTAACAACCAGATACTAATAACCCACATGCTGCCACATTACAATGCCACTCATCCCTTGCCATCTGATGGTTTGTCTGTAGCAGAGAGGTTTGCTCTGCTTGCTGTATCTTTAATTTGAAAGATTACTCCTTGAATCATCCTGATGGAGAAGCTGATAACACAATTAGCATATCAATTTGAAGAATCTCTGTCTCGTGCATCATTTACAGTTTTTTCTTATAATCATTTGCTAGGAACCAAATGATTCCTCACTCTTAATGACCTTTGTATTTGTCAACTGATTTATTCAGTCTGTGAATAAAATCAAAACAAAGAGGACGGACCACGTCCCGTCTCACTCCCCTCCAATGTGGTGAATAGAAAGTATTTTCTGTTTATTATTTAGATGTCGGTTTGTCACAGATCTGAACGTTCATTTGTTATCTACTACTCCCATTGTGGTCATCCAGCATTTGCAACTGAAGTTAAACAGTAGCTAAACCTGACACAAGTCACAAGGCTTGACAGGAACTATAGCTCCTCTATTGACTATAGAAAGCCGTGCAGTATAGAGTGTGAAACATGTTGCCTTTGCTGTTGATAATTTGAATATATGTCTCTGTGTATTGTGTTTTTTCTTTGTAATTTGTTTCCTTAATGAGTGTTTTCTGTATTTATAGGAGATTCCAGTCAACCTTAAGTTCTGTTTTGAAGGAATGGAGGAGTCTGGGTCCGAAGGCTTGGATGACCTGATTTTTGCCAAAAAGGATACCTTCTTCAAAGATGTAGACTATGTTTGCATTTCTGATAACTATTGGCTGGGCAAAAACAAGCCCTGTATTACATATGGCCTCCGCGGGATCTGCTATTTTTTTATTGAGGTATATCCTGAACAAGAAATCTAGATTTTCCCACACATTTCATTGTTTTGTGTGTGCGTGCGTGTGTGTGTGTGTGTTTTTTTTTTTTTGTTTTTTTTTTTTTAAATTGAAACTGACTGTACACTATGAGAAACTATATCTTCTTGAAATGTAGCAAGCATCTCTGACGCATGAAGCCTCCAAACATGTGCCTTCATCTGTGTAGTCAATTTGTAGTTCCTAGTCCATTTCCTGTTTATTTCCCCCCTAGTATTTTTTTCTAAATAAAATGTTTTGAAGGGTGTGTAGTCCAGCTTACAACGCTTTCAAACTAAATATAATTGTAGTTTTTGTTTTTTTTAAATTATGTTAAAGCCCAAAATATGTTGGTTTGAAAGATGTGATTTTCATTTTACACAAATGTATCAATATATATTTAGTGTGCATAAAGTACTTTTGTTAAGAATTTATGGTGAGATTTGTAAAAAAAAAAACATATTTGTAATATTCCAGAAAACACATATTAAATTACACTTCTGACAATTTTTAATATAAGACGAAAGGAAGGAAATGTGATATGTCTGAAATTTAAGTTGACCCTCACTTGTTAGAGTAGACTAGATAAGTCAAAGGGCATTGCACATTGAAAAAGAGTTTTTGTATACCTGAAACGTCTACCCTAAATTAAAATTTAGCACTTGGGTGCATTGCAAGATTCTGTTAGCGCTTGTTCCGTTCCTTTATTGTTTATGCGAATTCTACTAACAGTGCTTGGTTTTTTTCAACTAAGCTGCACAGACATTTATCTACTACTATACATCAGCAGAAATCTTAAATATTCATTTTTGATACTGCAGTATTTTTTTATTTTTTTTAATTATATATAGAATTTTGTGTAGTTATTATTAATATCCTGAATATTAGTACATTTTGAAGTTTATAAGCCTGACTTTTTATTTATTTTTTAAATCTTATTTTCAATCCATGTTAGGTGGAATGCAGCAGTAAAGATCTTCATTCAGGAGTATATGGAGGTTCTGTTCATGAAGCCATGACAGACCTTATTGCACTAATGGGTAAGAATACATGTAGTATTTTCTTTGAAGTACTTTCTAGTGTGGTGTGTGTGAGTTTTATTTATTTATTTATTTATTTATATATATATATATATATATAATCTCATTTCTCACAAGCTACCAATTTTGAGATGGTAATTCACTAAATGTATGTATATTAAGACTCAGGCTTTTGTTCATACAAGAAAAGCTAATCTCTCAACAGCTCACTCACTACCAGACCCAGAACCAGAACATTGCATCACCAGTATTTTGGTGTTCTCAAATTCAAGACCCCATATGATCAGGCATTGTAGCACCATAGTAAAAATACATTGTGGCATAACTTAAAATTAAGTTATAGAGAGAAGACTGGTATCCGTCTTTACTTTAGCTGAGCCATTGATTTTTGACTGATCCATTTTATTAATAGACTCCATAAATTTATAAGAAGCAACTGTAATATTGTGGTACTCCATCCATATTGTAGTCCAATGGAAGGGTTGTTGTTGTTAGGGGGCAAAAACCAGAGGCTTCAGCCCAAGATTAGATTTTATGGCCCCTCCTACTTATATTGACTTAAACCCCTTCTAAAACTTTATACAGTGCGCTAAATCCAACCCTAAGCTTTAATATGTTTTTTTTATAAATCAGCTGCGGTATTAACCCTTTTTAACACTGCATTAAACCCCTGCATCCACACTGTGATGTATAATTAACTTTAAATGTGGTGCATTAAAGTGGCACTTTCATGAATTTATGTAATTTGGAAGTGTTATTTCTCTTTAAGAATTACCTAACAATGAAATGGTGCCTATATTAGACCTGTGGATATTCAGGTCCCCATCTGGGCTTCCAGCCCTGCTTAGCTGCACCACTAACCTGTGGTTCCAAAAATGGTCCAATGCTCAGAGTTTATCTAACTTCGCACGCAATCAAATTATGATACCGATAGAAAACTAGAAAAAATAAAAATAAAAAATGCAATGGGCATAAACTACTTCTCTGCCAGACAGCATTCTCTGTGCAAGGGAAGTGTCCTTTACACTTCTTGAAAATATATACCAGTATATTATACACACATTACATGTTGAAGGATACAAAGGTATAGTGTTTTCTAATGTGTAAGTTTATTGTTAATAAATATATATATGTGTGTGTGTGTGTATGTATATGTATGTGTATATATATATTTAACTGAATCTGTTGTAATGTCAAATGTCAGTAAAACATATCCACAATTCAGCATGTTTTCTGGAAAGCAATGTAGTAATTGTAATGTGTAGGTTAATGTTTGCATGTGTGTTTTTTTTTTTTTTGCATAGAAGTCATTAAAGTATATAGTAGTATAAAGTGTGTGTGTGTGTGTGTGTATGTGTATGTATGTATGTATGTATGTGTGTGTGTGTATATATATATATATATATATATATATATATATATATATATATATATATATATATATATATATATATATATATATATATATAATATATATATTTATTTATGTATTTTTTTTTCTCCTTGAAGGCAGTTTAATTGACAAAAAAGGGAAAATCCTTATTCCGGGAATAAATCAAGCTGTAGCACCAGTTACAAAAGAAGAAAAGAAAATCTATGATGCCATTGACTTTGATCTCGAGGACTTTGCAAATGACATTGGTGCAAACAAACTTCTACATGGTGCCAAGGTACCAAGCTATGCAAATAGTGCAAGATTCTGGGCAATGTGTGTCTTGATAAATATTGTTCCTCCCACTTGACACATTTTCACTCACTTTGGGTGAAAGTTCTGCTCCCAGATTAATTTCCAAGTATGAAACTGCAATGTTTTTTTTGTTTTGTTTTGTTTTCATTTTCCCATTGTGAATTTAACCAAACAAGAAAAACCTTGAGACAGTGCAACAGAATGGCACATGTAATATCAACGTGTAATTTATATAATAATAATAATAATAATATGAGCAGTACCAGACCATAGAACCCCACGTCTTATTGAATGGGAATTACTTTCTGGATTATCATGTTTTATGCTATTTAATTTGTGTGTCTTTCTGCAGCATGAAATACTGATGCACCGGTGGAGATTTCCATCTCTTTCTCTCCATGGAATTGAGGGGGCTTTCTCTGCAGGAGGAGCTAAAACGGTCATACCACGGAAAGTCATCGGAAAGTTTTCTATAAGATTAGTTCCAGATATGAATCCAGATGACGTGAAGACACAGGTGGGATAGAGAAATAGCTTTGTATTAACACTGCTTTCTGTCTATGTCTGCCTAATTGTTCTCCTTTAAATGTGTCTATACTCCAGTCATGTCCAATTCTCAGACTACCGTGGAGATAAAGAAGCCCAACTAACAAAATAAGTGAGACTTATTACTTTTGGTGTGACTAGAATCAATGAATACACCTCCAGGGAGGCCAGTGGCTACCACTGACCTGTGATCAGGCAGCTTAACCTATCACTAGGAGAATTAGAAAACGGATAACCATATGTATATATACAGAACATAAGAAAGCCAGATACATATGAATAACGTGTAACAAGTATATTGTCTCTGTGAATAAACGGATTGTCTATCCCTTCATTTCTAATTATTCCTGGACATTTTGCATGAAGCCAGAGAAGCTGGTGTGTTTTTGTTTTGTTTTTGTTTTTTCTGTTTGTTTTGTTCTTTATACAATTCTGTTGGATGGAAGCACGTCTTATTAATCTGCATTACAAAAACAATAACTTTAGATTTTCTCATGCAGGTTGAAGACTACTTAACAAAAAAATTCAAAGAGCTGGACAGTCCAAACAAGTTCAAAGTGACAATGGGCCATGGCGGTAAACCTTGGGTGTCTGACTTTAATCATCCTCACTACCTTGCTGGAAGGAAAGCCATGAAAGCTGGTGAATATTTATTTTATTTACATTCAGTACATAATTTTGGCATACTAAATAATTTTCTTTGTATGTTTTTCCCAGATTGTTTTGATTGGTTTGAGGCAATTCTTGAAGTGTGATAAAATTAACATTAAAATAATTGTAATTCTTCCCAATGTCAAAGGGGTCTCCACTCTGAAAAGGAATGCTGATAAAGCAATCTATTTATCGCCACACTAGGCTCTGATGAATATGATGTACCTTTTCCTTTAAATGGTGATAGATATAGGTATGGAGACAGGGGTTATATTTGGTAGATTGATATTTATTTATTTTGTCCGTGTATTCTTGTGAATACGAGAATTAGTCAGACAAGACGAAACTTCATCTTCAGTATTGCACTTATTGAAATAATTGATTGATTGTTGCAGTTAGCAGCAGATTGCATAGGATACATGAACAGTCTTGGCAAAATCCTGACTAACACAAAATCCGCTATCTTGTATTCCTTTTTCATGGTTATATAAGTATTTTTTGTGTGGCATGCATCACAATAAATGTACTCTTATAGACAACAGATCTACAGTTCCATTGTGTTGATAGTGAAATGTACTGGTAAACCGCTCCCTTTACATCCACTGTCTTACCAAACTTAAAAGTTTCTTGAATGATTTTCTAGATTCCTTGGAAATTTATTATAACATCTACTTCTTTTCAAGGTCAATGTAAAATTGAGATTGTTAAACAAAATGGTTGCCTAACGGGTTACTCCAAGCACCATGGCCACTTAAGTGATTTGATGTGTTCCTGGTGACTGGAGTATGTGCACAGTTTCGGTTTGAAACACAGATTAACCTCTTCACTGTGAAAGGTGTAACTCCACTTCCATTGCCGTCAGCCTGCCTAGAACAAGCATTCATGCTGGCTAATGTCAATTCTTTACACAATTAGCCAGGCAGCCCATGGCGGCTCAGCCCACTCACCTTTGTGTCGCCCCTGTCTTGCCCTCAATCCTTCCTCCCTCTCTTGAAGTGGAGTAACTTCATCTAAGTAGTGTTCGGCTGAGGGAGAACTTGAAAAAGAGGCAAGTCCTCTTAAATGTTCTGTATTTCATTCAACATATGTTTATTATTATTATTTATATAGCGCTTTACACTATTTTAAGAGGGGGAATTTAACTATAAAAAGGGCAATTACAAGAAAACTTACAGGAACGATAGGTTGAAGAGGACCCTGCTCAAATGAGCTTACAGTCTATAGGAGGTGGGGTGTTCAACACAGTAGGACAGGAAATAACAATCAAAGTGGGAGTGAAGCAGAGCTGGAGGAGAGAGCAAGAGACAGGTATGTGATGTAGAGGTTGCCTCACATAAAAGGATATGATAAGTCCAAAGGAAGGTTGATTTGATTTATATAGGAAGAGTATATGTGGTTATATTGTGCTTCACATTTAACCACAAATGTCTGAACACTCCCTCATAATGCGCTAGGCATGCTGGCATTGTAGCTTTGGGAGGTTTACTTTGCTGTAACGGTTCTATTAAAGCAATCCTGCTAGGCTTCAAGCCAGACCTCCCGGGACTTTGGGAGTTACTTCCAATTGCCAGGCTGCCTTAGACAAATAACCTCTGATTTTGTTAGATATGTCGCAGACATCAGTCACGCACCCTCTGTCTCCTTAGATAAGATCCATGCAGACCGTATCTACAGTTCATTGACAAACCTGCTAGAAAATCAAATATACAAAGTATGCAGAAATAAAAATGGCACAAATGGTTACGGTTTCTCTTTAGCAGTTTGTCAAATGTTCATAATTTGCTGTTCATGAGTAAACCTTATTGTTTCTATACAGATTTGGGATTGATTGATAAACAAAACATAATCCCCCTTAATCACTTGGATACTAATATTCTACAGCAAGTGAAATAGTGGAGCAATAATGTGTACCAAACATAGTGAAATTAACCACACACAACCTTTACTTTAAACAAAGATTATACCGGCCTTGTAATTTGTGTCTCTATGTCAATCTTTTCATATAAGAAACGTACATAGTCTTTCTGCCAATAATGGACACATTTGTTGTATATAACACACCAATTTCAACTTTAGAACTTCATTCTATGAATTCGGTTTTGTGAACTTGGTATTGTGCATTTACAAAACGTATAAGTCAAAGTTGAGAAATAGTTTGCTTCAGTACTTCACTAATTGAAGAATATCATGTAAATATTGTCTATAGTCCCCCACCAGGGACTGAATGAATAGTGTAATGCAAACGCATTCTGATACTTCTCCATATACTTATGGGAATGTACATTTAATGATCGAAAGAGTCCTTTTTCTTTTCTCTCCCTCCCCCTTATTTGCTTTCCATAAAACAATTGTATAGCATTTATTTCTTAGTGTGGCGATCTCTACATCATTCAGTGATGTATTGGGGTTTATATGTAATAAATCTATTCTGAAAAGTGGTGAAAAGGGGGCAGAGTCCCTCATGAAATGTGCCTGATGGTTCCACTAGTTTCTAAAGTAACTGCCCCGCTTTTAGTACGATAGACTACAACACTTTTTATACATAACTTATTTTTAGAATTCAAGGGACAGCTTAAGCATTGAAATCACATCTTAATGAAGTGATTTTGTGGAAAACATCTCAGAGTAAACTCCAACTATATATATATATTGTGTATTAATATTGTTTTTGTATTTTGTTGTACCTAATGTAACAATGCAATGATTTGTGGACCCAGGACCTACTTGAAAACGAGAGAAATCTCAATGTATCTTTCCTGGTAAAATATTTTATAAATAATAAATAATAATAACTTTAAAAGGTGCTCATTTGCAGATGCATAGATTTTGTGAATATTCCCTCATAATGTGCTGATCATGCTAATAGAAGTTGCGGGAATATATTATGTCAACTACTGATTTCAGCCGCACCATAGGTCAAACCCATATATTGTTGTGACTATGAACATCCACACACAGATCTGTGAGTTTTGTGCTCCTAAAAAGGCTGTTCACTTGTACTTGCCCTCCATGCCAAAAATGGTCCCCCTCTCTTTGGCAGTGTTCACATATTGCAGTTCCCATGCCCCTAACGGCTATAAGACAGCCAAAACAAGCTATGTTTTGCGCTAAAATAGATTCCATCATACATTTTGCATTCTTAGTCAGCGTGCAGAGTTTGGAGATGCTGTGTGTTTGTCCAATGATTCTCATCTCGTGTCACTAGCACAACGAATCACCTTCATAATATGGTGACTTTTCCACACAAAAAAATCAAAAACTGAACATGTCATATGTAGGTCTCACTCTGTATTCAGAATGGGAAGATTTAGTATTTTAATAAATATTTAAATGGTAACCGACATTTTCTATGATCCGTATCTGCTTCTCTAATTCTGTTACATTGTGTTTCCATACAGGACATTTTCAGTAGCATTATTTCTACAGGAATGTTTTCGGAGAACTCACAATCTGCCTTTCTGTTTTTAATAGTGTTTAATGTAGAACCTGATCTAACCAGAGAGGGTGGAAGCATTCCTGTAACACTCACTTTCCAAGAGGCCACTGGCAAGAATGTTATGCTTCTGCCTGTGGGTTCTGCCGATGACGGGGCACACTCTCAAAATGAAAAACTTAACCGGTAAGACTCTGCGTTTTTTGTTTGTTTAATTCCTGCTGTGATACAATAGAGTATGCTATACTGGAACTGTACTTGGGATTGTCTGTCTGTATGCTTCAACAAATACACACAGTGCCGAGATTGGAGGTTACCTTATCTGCAAACACACAGTGCTGGTTATTGTGGCACATATTGTCAGCAGACTTAGTGCTACTATTAGATGACACACGCAGTTCTGGTCTTTGGAAATGAGCTTGGTTCCCATGTTCAGTTCTTTGTATGGGCATAATCTTATTTTGTTATTTTTGTTAAATCGGGAAAAATAACAAACATTAGCCTCCATTTAATATTACTAGATAAGCTTTCCAAATGATTTGCATAAACTTTTAAAATTATTAATATTATGAAACATAATTTTGTAATATTTTGATATGATATATAATAATGTTTTATGTTGAAAAAAATCACTTTAAAAGTTTATTCAATGTTATTTGCTCCAGTTTCAATAAGAGCATTCCCAAAACAAATTAATATATTATACACACTTATCAGCCACAACATTTAAACCACCTGCCTAATCTCATGTAGGTTCCACTCAGATGCCAAAACAGCTCTGATGCGTTGAGTCAGGGACACAACAATACTTCTGAGCATGGCCTATGGTATCTGGCACCAAGACACTAGCAGCAGATCCTTTAAGTTCTGCAAGCTGCAAGGTGGGGTATCCATGGATTGGATTTGTTCCAGCACATCCCACCAATGCTCAATCAGATTGAGATCTGGGCAATTTGCAGGCCATGACAACACCTTAAACTTATGTTCCTCTGACCATTTCTGAACAATTTTTGCAGTATGGCAGGGTGCATTATCCTGCCAAAAGAGGTCACTGCCATCAATGAACACAATAGCCATGAAGGGGTGTTTGTGGTCTGCAACAATATCTAGGTAGGTGATTTGTGTCAAAGTAACATACACATGAATGTCAGCACCCACGTTTTCCCAGCAGAACATTGCCCAGAGCATAACACTGTCTCTGCTGGCATGCCTTCTTGCCGTAGTGCATCATACTGCCATCTCAGGTAAATGATGCACGTCCATTCGGACATCCACCTGATCTAAAAGAAATAAAAAGAAAGGACAATGACCGCAGGACTGGAGACAATCCACTCCTGGAGTCAAAGAAGGACTAAATGGGCATCATAGAAGGGGTTAACCCAACAAAAAACACTAATAGAGAAGTACCCAAAGATAAGGGTGTATGGAGGGAAGAACATCCCCTGGTTAAGCAAAGGTAAATAAAATAAAGAATGAATGAAAAATAAAAATAAAAAATACTTTATTGAAAAATGAGATTAGATAAAATACAATGCATGGGGTCCGGGATGAGGGGATGGACCATAATTCGTGAGATTATAATGGTACAGAAAGGAGGCAGCCAGGCAGATATGAATCGCTCTAAGGCGATACTATAAGCCAATAGGTAAGTTTATGTATTCAAAGTAACATGTTATACCAGAGTATCTATAATGTAACTTATTTCTAAAGGCCTCTATCGTTTTTTGTTTTTTTCTCTCTACTTAGAACATATATTTCTGGTTCCAGTCTACCTTACTGTTAGTAGTCAGCAGTTTTCCCGCTCGATTTTTCTACCATTCCATTAACGGATTTATATGCTTGCTACAAACTCCAGGGAATTACACCCCATCTATTCGGTATTATCCCCATAATAGGAGTTTGATCACACTTTGTGCAGATATTTCCTGCTCACTAAGGAGCCTTTAGAAATAAGTTACATTATAGATACTCTGGTATAACATGTTACTTTGAATACATAAACTTACCTATTGGCTTATAGTATCGCCTTAGAGCGATTCATATCTGCCTGACTGCCTCCTTTCTGTACCATTATAATCTCACGAATTATGGTCCATCCCCTCATCCCGGACCCCATGCATTGTATTTTATCTAATCTCATTTTTCAATAAAGTATTTTTTATTTTTATTTTTCATTCATTCTTTATTTTATTTACCTTTGCTTAACCAGGGGATGTTATATATATATACCCTCTTAGTGGGCATACCCTTAGTTGAGTGTATTGTGAGAGATAGACGTTGGTTCTTCCCTCCATACACCCTTATCTTTGGGTACTTCTCTATTAGTGATCTAAAAGAAAACCTGATTCATCAGACCAGGCAAACTTCTTCCATTGCTCCATGGTCCAGTTCTGATGCTCACATTCTCAGTGTAGGTGCTTTCAGCGGTGGACAGGGGTTATCATTGGCACTCAGCCTGGTCTGCAGTTAACCAGCCTTAAACGGTGTTCTGACCTCTTTCTATCATGGCCAGCATACATATTTCATCTATTTGAGCTACAGTAGCTTTTCTGTGTGATCGAACCACAGGCTAGCCTTTGCTTCCCACTTGCATTAATAAGCCTTAAGTGCCCCTGATCCTCAAGCGTGTTCACAAGTTGGCCTCCCTTGCTTTACTTTTGGTATGTACTAACCACTGCATACTGGGTACACCGCATCTGCTGTTTTATAGATGCTCTGACCCATTCTTCTAACCATCACTATATGACTTTTGTCAAATTCAATTCTATCCTCTTGCTTGCCCATTTTTCCTGCTTTTAACACCTGAAATTGAAGAACTGACTGTTCACTTGCTGCCTAATATATCCCACCCTTTGACAGGTGCCATTGTAACAATATAATCCATATTATTCAATTCACTGGTCAGTAGTTTTAATGTTGTGGCTGATCAGGGTATAATGATCTGATGAATGTGGCATATACAGTTTCATTAGGGTGTAGGATGTAATCCTGGAAAGATTTGTTTAATGTTTTTTTTTTTTTTCTTTGTTTTTTTTTCCAGGTATAATTACATCCAGGGAGTGAAGCTTCTAGGCGCTTACCTGTTCGAGGTTTCTCAACTAGAATAAAGCCTCAATTCACTGTATTCTGTTTCTTTATCATCGGAGGATAAAGATCATCCCATATTTTATATGTTGTAAAAAGGCTGCTACAATAAATCTCTAGCCCACAGTGATTTTACAAAATTGTTTGGCTGTCTGTTCATTGTGTTAATTACGTTTTGGTGTAAAAGAAAAGATTTCCATTTGGAAATATGAATTGAAAGATGTAGAAAACCTAAGAGTCTTTTCTTGATTATGTTCACCAAGTAAACAGATGTCATATTTGTCTTTAAATAGCAGGTGTATACACATCCAACGGGATGTCAGGGAAGACTTGGGCAGTATGGAGAGGCCATGCCACCACTGGTTTTCTGTTGCCAGTTTGAAACTCTCATCCTGAGCTGCCTGACGATGAGGTCAAGTTGCACCTCACGCAGCAAAGGGCTTTAAGACGGGCTTGTCCCTACTTTTTCTTACGTATTTTATGAAATTTACAGCACTCAAAAAAACAAATCTAAAGTAATCCTGTAAAAAATGAAACTATATGAGAGAATTCCTTATCAGAGGATTTACATGAATATGTTTGACATTAAGATTGCTGCTCTCGCTGTCAAACATGTTTACCACTGCAATTGGAGAGGTATGGTTTTATTGATACATTTTAATCTGTCGAAGCCACTTCTATCTACACTGGACTGTAATATCTTCAAATCTTAATGCCCGAGCGATTGGGAGACCAGATACCTCTCAGTAGTAGAGTCTTCAGTTATTCACAATTCAGATAGATTGGTAAGGGTTTTTTTTTTTTGTTTTTTTTTTTTTTTTTAAACTACGTTTTGAACTTTAAACTGCAATTTGATTTAAATATGCTGCATTATATAAACTATGATCTGAAATTTGCTAGTTCATCTCCTTGTTTCAACATTACCTCAGTATGGACAATGCTGTTATTTGATGTTCCAGCCAATGCCATCTCTAAGGCACTTGCACTAATGGGAACACAGAGAACTGAGCCAACAAATGCTCACTTTTCTAGCTTGCTTGTTTGTTTTTAAGAGTGTCTATAAATTTTGAGTGTATCAGAGACTGATAGTATTCACATGTGTGAGTTTGTGATTTTCTGGGAGTGTCTTGAGTATTACTGTTCATGTTGTAAATGTTTTTCATGGTGGAGTCTGGCAAGGGTAGATATGGGTTTCAGGCTCACACCATTCTCCTGTGGATTCAATTAGCCGTAGGTGCTTTGGGATGTTTGTTGGCAGTGTTCTGCAAGAGGGGAAACAGCTGGCAATAATTTTGCAGGGCATTGGCTAGCCTGGCACTTTGTAGTGTGCATTTACTATGTTTTGCAGGCCTGGATTAGTCTATAGAGAATTCTTACTGCAGTTTAAATGAAACTACAGTTTTATTTAAGTACTAAATATTTGTGTATGCTGGAAATGTTCTAGTCTGACCGTCCTTTTGTCCCATAAAGTTTATTTTCATATCAGTCTACAACTGTCAATAAGTAAGCACTTCTCTAAAGTTTGAAAAGGTATTCCAAATGTGAGACAATCTTTTCCCAGTGAGGTGTCTACAGTCTCAAACGGGGCTGTGATTGAGACACTCCTGCTGTCATTTGTTTTACTGAAGTTGCAGAAAACTGTATGTCTCTTATGCATACAGAGGTCTCTGTGAATGCTCAGTCATGCTGCACAGATCATAGCTGGAGGAGCGGGGAGCAAGACATGAAGGGGGCGGGGGGAAGAGACACGAGGGGGTGGGCCAAGACTCGAAAGGGATGGGGGGGGAGAGAGACACAAAGGGGGCTGGGGGAAAGTACGAGATGCACGAAGAGGGGAGTGAGAGAGACTAGAGGGTGTAAGACCCACAAAAAGCAAAATGGGGGTCATGATACACTAAATCGGGTAAGACAATCAAAAGAGGATGAACACAAAAGGGTAAAAAAAATTCAAAAAGGGGGAGTTAAGAGAAACGCAAGTGAAGATGCATTTTTTTGGGGGGTGGTAAAATGCATCTTCTCCTGTGTAGCCAAAAGTCCTTGCAGAGGCCCTGATCTTGTGCCCCATCCTATGCCAACCTGTACCTACATGCACACTTGACAGAATCTGTATTTGGAAGAGCTACATTGATGATGTATTTATCTTCTGGACAGGCAGCCTATAGTTTATTTGAGGTCTTTGTTAGCCTATTGAATGTTAAGAACTTGAATTTAAACTTACTATGGAAGTTGGGAATCCTTCTTTGAACTTTCTTGATTTTTTTCACTGTTTCAATGAATGCGTCCAATATTGTACAAACTACTCTATGTAGGAATGAATAGTATCTCAGGATGGGGCACTTACCATCTGACACCACTCAAAGGGTGTTCCTGTAGGTTAATACTTGAGGGTGTGGAGAAATTGCTCCATGCTTGTAGATTTTAAAACGAAGGCGTCCATATTACGGGCACAATTGAAAAGTTGCTAAGGCACTCCATTTGGACCGTGAACTCCTGCTGAAAAAAGTGGACAGGGGTCATAAGGGGGACTTTGACTGGTCCTGCCTTACAACACTTTTGGTAGGTACTAACCACTGCATTCCAGGAACACTCCACAAGACTTGCTGTTTTTGAGTTGCTCTGATCCAGTTGTCTAGCCATCACTAGCTATAGCAAACAAATATATCACCAGAAAGATACAAATAGTGCAAAAAATAAGATATAGCACACAATAATATTTAACTTCAGATAACGTGTAACAGCCTCCCTAGGTCGTTACCCAAAGAACGACCTATATCATATATAGGAAACCACAACAAAAGCAATTCGGGAATAGCTGTGTAAATCTACAGAGAGAACATGAGACAAAACATAGTGTAATATTGTTACAAAATATAGTAATCTGTGCGCAGTTATCGGTTGCACTCACTAGATAGAAGTAGGTATCAAAGCGCTCAGGGTGCCTCCCCAGGTGTAATGGGGGGCCAAATAATCCTTCTGTTCACCTCCAAATTTGTGTCCCACCAAAAGACATCCACAGGTCAGGGTTTAGAAAATTGGAAAAAATGTATTCAATAAAAGTATAAATATAAGCAGTCACCAATTTAGCATAGGATATAGATGCAGAAAAATAGTACTACGTGTTTCGTTCGTTATGAACTTCCTCAGGGACCGCAATAAAATAATCACATGTATAGATACAAAGTATAAAATAAACATATCCTAAAAACAACCCCCCCTCCCTGTGTCCTTAAATAGGGCTAATCCCTTGAGTCCATTGGTGGATTCAGTGGGTGTGGATCCTTTTCCTTTTTTGATTGGAGGGGGCCGGGGGGAGGACCGTAGGTCCCCCCACATATTGTTATTTAGGGCCCCCACTCACCGTGCAGGGGTGGGGGCTGAGGGGGAGAACTCCCTCCATCAGCTGTTTCTCATCATTCAAATCAAAAACTAGTGCCCTTTTTCACTGAAAACCGGAAGTTATCATCATTGCCGAAACCGGAAGTGACGTCACGAGACCAGAAGTGGCGTCACAAGCTTGTTTGCGTTCCAATATGCGTTCCAGTGATACGATCTCCATGGCAACCCGGCGTTATAATCTCAGCCACAATGTATATAATACAGGGAAGCCAATTTTACTCCCCAAATTCTAATGAAAAAAATATTAACCATCTGTGGTTTTATTTATTTCATACACTAGATAATGGCAGCAGTTACTATGTTGTATTAATCATTATCTGAATCATAAAAAATTATGAATATATTAAATAAAAATCTTAACTAAAACAGAATCAGATCGAAAGTATATATATATAAAGTGAAATAATATACCAGTTACCAAGACTTAAGGGACTTTTAGCTTAAAAATTCCATCACTGAAAGGTGAAAAGGTCTCTTATTCTTAAAGGGACACCTCTTTGGAAAATATACATATAAAATTTGACCCAAAATATTAAATGCTATTTCTTAAATCCTAAACTATATAACACCCCATATAAACCCTTAAAAACAAATTATCACTGTTTATTGTACAATATCAGAACCATTCTCCATAGGGGTTAGTCCTCAACTGTAGAAAAAAAATCCTACAATGGGGACAAGCACACATACCTAATTATCCAAGTAAACATATCAATACCAAATGTTACTTGGACCATATTAGTCCAAGAAACATGTTAAATCAATATCAATATTTAAACCCCTTGGCATGAGGGTCCGCAATTTATGAATCCAGAAAGTCTCTCTCTGGGCTAGTCTCTGGACTCTATTTCTCCCACGCCAAAAGGGGGATACCCTTTCAATTCCCAAACATTTAAAGCCTTTAAATTCAAAAGAGGGACATTGTATGCAATGAGCAGGGACTGAGTGTGCCACGGGGGGGTTACATTTTTATTTAGGGCCCCCACCCACTGCTCAGGGGTGGGGGCCGGGGGGAGGACCGCAGGTCCCCCCACATATTGTTATTTAGGGCCCCCACTCACTGTGCAGGGGTGGGGGCTGAGGGGGAGAACAGTAGGTCCCCCCCATTCTTATTTAGGCCCCCTCCCACCGCTCAGGGCTGGGGGCCAGGGGGGAGGACAGTAGGTCCCCCCTCATTGTTATTTAGGGCCCCCACCCACCACGCGGGGGGGAGGACACTAGGTCCCCCCCACATGCTTATTTAGTGTTTAGATGTCTATTAAACAGTCACTGTAAAAAAAAAAAAAAAATCACGTGTGCCCCCACCCGTACCCTAAATTAGAATAAGGGGGGGGACCTATTGACCTCCCCCCCAACTCCCACCCCTGAGCAGTGGGTGGGGGCCCTAAAGTAAAATAAGGGGGGGGCCTATTGTCCTCCCCCCGGCCCCCACCCCTGAGCAGTGGGTGGGGGTCCTAAATTAGAATGGGGGGGTGACCTATTGTCCTCCACCTTGCCCCCACCCCTGAGTGGTGGGTGGGGGCCCTAAAGTAAAATAGGGGGGGGACCTATTGTCCTCCCCCCAGCCCCCACCCCTGAGTGGTGGGTGGGGGCCCTAAATACCAATAAGGGAGGGACCTATTGTCCTCCCCCTGGGCCTCACCCCTGAGCAGTGGGTGGGGGATCTAAATTAGAATAGGGGGGGGACCTATTGTCCTCCGCCCTGGCCACCACCGCTGAGCGGCGGGTGGGGCCCTAAATAAAAATGTAACACCCCCCCAGGTGACTAGGGGTTCCTAAAACCCTAGTCACCCCCCTCCCAACAAAATGAATTAACCCCTACCTTCCACCCTCACCTTAAAAATAGTGAGGGAGGACCAATAACTAGGTACCTGTAAAAAAATAAATAAAACTTACCGTTTGATGTCTTCTTTTTATTTAGGACCCCCACCTGCTGCTCAGGGGTGGGGGCCACGGGGAGGACAATAGGTCCCCCCCTTATTGGTATTTAGGGCCCCCACCCACCTCTCAGGTTGTGGGGGCCAGGGGGAGGACAATAGGCCC